AGACGCCCGCATCCCCGATATCGCCTCTGCGGACGCGCTCATGGTAGTCTGGATGCAGAATCGGCAGCAAGAGACTGCTCTCGTACCAGCGCCCCCCTTCAGATCCGCGATACCGAGCTTTGCCATCGACTTTGCGAGTTTCCAGTAGCTCTTTGAGTGGGTGAGCGCCGTCACATGACCCAAGCCCTGCTGATGTTGATGCTGCTGCTGCTGCTGCTGCTGCTGCTCCTGCGGCGGCTGCACCGGCGGCTCGACCCCCTCCACAATCCTCGTCCCCACCGGCACCGCCCTGCCAAACGCATCTCTCCGTTCCGGCTTCCTTGTCCCCGGCGACCCCTGCGGCAGCCCATCTCCCCTGCCATTCATCCAGACGCCCGCATCCCCGATATCGCCTCTGCGGACGCGCTCATGGTAGTCTGGATGCAGAATCGGCAGCAAGAGACTGCTCTCGTACCAGCGCCCCTTCAGATCCGCGATACCGAGCTTTGCCATCGACTTTGCGAGTTTCCAGTAGCTCTTTGAGTGGGTGAGCGCCGTGACCTGGTTCCTGAAAAGCAGGTCCTCGCGCATGCGGAGGGGGAGGTGGCGGTCGTCTGGCACGGAGGAGGAAAGGGGGACGCTGCAGAAGGTGTAGATGTCGCCGATGAGGCTTATGGTGCTAGTTCTCGCACCTCCCGCCCCCCCTGCCACTCCCCCTGCTCCACTGCCCGAGGAGCCGGCGGCGAATTGCGAAGCCACCTTTTCAACAATCTCGATGATGACGAGGACGTCGGATCCAGAGCCTATGCGCAACCGCACGGGCTCGCCGACCCAGGCTTTCTCGCCGCCGAGGAAGAGCCCGTTCCAGCGGCGCTCCTCGACGCCGGGGGCGGGCGCAGTGGTCTTGATGAGGTCGAAGAGCGTGAAAGATGCGTCGATTGCCTTGGCTGCCATGATGCTGCCGTCGACTTCCGCGTCGCCTGGCCCGATGCGGCCCTCGATGTAGGCCGGCCAGTCCAGCATGTCGTAGGTGGTCGGGCGCTCTGCGAGGTACTTGTTCGTGTACTGTGGCGCGCTCCAAGCGAGCCAGGGGCGGAGTTCGGCTTCTTGAGTTATTGTTGCGGTGGGTGGGTGCGAGAGCGGGTGAGAGAGTGGCTGGACGATGTAGGCGCGAATCAGGGGGGAGGTGGAGAGGTAGTAGCGTTGCAGGATTATGCCCAGACCCCAGGCGACGCCGCGGTTGAACCAGACTAGTTCGCCCGGGCGGAAGATGAATTTGTTGTATTGGGCGTCGATTTGTTGGTCGAGGGATCGGGGCTGGGGGAGGGGTGTCGGGGTAGGAGGTTTGGACGCGGAAACACTTGCGGGGGTCACAGGTGTTGTGGAAGGTCGTCGTGCTATGGGTGCTGGTGAGGCTCTGGTGATGCTGCTTGGTCGCGCAGGTATTTCGACTATTGGCGATATTCGGCCTACGGGCCTGGTGTGTATGTCCTCCTTTTTAATCGCAGCCTTGGAGTCCTTGGCCGGTTTCTCCTCTTCCAGCTGCTCCGGCGAGCATATCGTACAGGTGCAGTTGTCTGGATCGCCTGCCTTGTCGGTGACGAGCCATAGGAGATGCGGGAAGAACTCGGCAGGGCTTCTGTACCGCTTCTTACGGCCTAGCGGGTGTCCGTAGAGGTATGCATCCTGACGGTCGTGTCCTCCGCCAGCATGATTCTTCGTGGCCTTTGTAGTCTTGCCGTCGGAAGCGTTTCCCTTGGATTTGATGTGTTCGTACAGTCGGTAGTTCTCGGGAAGTGCTGCCAGTATACAGGCTTTCTCTACAGAGCCGTCAGAAGATCGGAAGGCGGGTTCGAAAAAGCGCAACACCATACCTTGATCGTCTTGACCACCCAGCTCCCGCACCAACATGCCACCCAGCTTCCTCCTCCAGTCAAGATGCTTGACCTCATCCACGGAGATCTCCCGGTAGTAGTCGGATATTCCCTTCGCATCGGGCGTCTGGTCAAGCTGTCCGGGCAAAGGCTGGTTCTGCTCTGTCTTACCCTTCGCTGCGATTTCGAGCTTGCCGTCCGATCTCCGGACATAGAGAGGGAAGAAGCGTGTCATAGTATCGGCATGGCTAGGGGATGCTCCTACTGGGGGGGATGGTCCTATCGGGGGGGATGGAGTACTAGGTAAGCATAAAGAGTGTTGACAGCCAGTAGGTTTTACAAGCCGTGAGTGACCTGGAGTGAAGAAGCTTGGCACACTTACCGCTGATCGGCCTGCAAAGGTCCGCGACTCGCCGACGCCACGAACCAGCGCGCTTTGACGCGTTCCCCAGATTCTTGCGAACCCTGTGGGCGACCCCTTCAGCCTTACGGCGCATTCTCTTGGGGTACTTTTTTCTTTCACTTCACATCTCGACCGCTGGTTCTTGGACGAACACTGGAACTCTGGGACGCTGGAACGCTGGAACGCTGGACGCGCGCCATACTTAGCACTTGCTATTTCGTGTAGCTCAGTAGAATCCGGCGCCTGCTCGACGGACAGAGCCAAATCGCCATCTTGCTTCACACCTTCCTCTCACAAACCCTTCAGTACTAGAACTGCATGCTTGCGGCAGACGACATCTCATTTAGAACTCTAATTTCCCGCAAATATCCACTGTAATAGTAGCTGCTGTCCATGCTTTCAGTCGTTTCACTTCACTTCACTTCACAAACTAACAACCCCTTCGCCAACGCTCCTTCTCTGATCGACGAACGATACGCTTCTCTTCACCACCCCTTCGTGTTTCTTCCAAAGACCTCAGCATGGAACGGCCAGCGCTCGTTCTGGGCTCACCGTTGCCCGAAACACCTCCTAAGCGGCAGACGGCCTCGCGGCTCCTGGCCCAATTCGGGTCACAACGATCACCCACCTCAGTCACGCAGCTACGCCGATCTTCGACCAACATGACGCTTCCAACTCACGGTCTCCGCGATCGTCCTCCCATTTCGTATGCGATCTCTGACGGTTCAGACGAGTCTCGTTCGCCTTCGGTGTCCTCGGTATTCACAAGTCCTGAAAAAGCACAGGTTATTGACAGCCAGAGTAGCGAGGATGAGGCGGACACCATGGAAGAGAAGGAGCGCGCAGTAGCAGGAGGTCGTACACTGCGACCAACGTCAGTTTTGTCTGCTACAAGCAGAGCGCTCGGCACGGCAACTCATCGCGCAAGCCGTAACTCTTCAGCCAGTATCAAGAAGGGTAGCAAGAAGACAAACAAGATTTTGATTTCCGATACCCTTCTTCCATCGAAGACGACTGCAGGTCACAAGGTTGAGACGGCCCGGCAGAGGATCCGCACCGACATTGCGGCTGGTACCAAAATCAAGCAGGAGAGGTTTCTCATCGCGAAGAAGAACTACTTCCTACCACTCCTCCCCACACAGAACTATGTTCAGAAGCTGGTGAACAGCCGCGAGGGTGTCGAACCTCAGGTTGTCCCCTACGAAGCACTGGAGCACCAGCCGAAGGGTGTCATAGCAACAATGAAGCCTTATCAGCTCAGCGGTCTGTCGTTCCTGCTTTATCTCCATGAGAACGGCATGTCGGGCATGCTCGGCGATGAGATGGGCTTGGGGAAGACACTTCAGACGCTCTCACTATTCCAGTACTTGAAAGAACGGAAACACGTGACCTCATCTGCGGAGTCTCGACCATTCCTCGTCGTCTGCCCTCTGAGTGTTCTCAGCTCGTGGATGGCGGAAGCGCGGAAGTGGACGCCAGGTCTGAAGGTTTTGAGGTTCCACGGTCCAGTCAGTGAGCGCAAGCATCTCAAGAAGGTCGCTTCAGGTCAAGAGGACCGATATGGCAACACTCTCGATCGTACGAAGAAGCGCACCACTTCGAGCAAGCCAGTAATGGACTTTGTTGAGACCGATATTGCTGCCGGCGGTTATGACTTGATCGTAACGACGTACGAAACATTTCAGGCGGAACAGGGATGGTTCAAGACGGCTTTTGTCTGGCGATACGTCGTGCTCGATGAAGGCCATAAGATCAAGAATAACATGACCGATATTTCGCGGGCATTGCAAGGCCTGCAAGCCGAGTACCGCCTCATTCTAACCGGCACTCCGCTTCAAAACAACCTTCTCGAACTGTGGGCTATTCTGCATTGGATGTATCCTCAGGTCTTCTCCGAGCAAAGTGCCGAGCTCTTCAAGTCTTCATTCGACCTTACACGTGGCAAGGTCAACACCACCGTCATGGATGATGCTCGCCGTCTACTGGAGTTGATTATGCTTCGGAGGACAAAAACGAGCCCTGGTGTCGACTTGAACCTGCCTCCAAAGGAAGAAGTCCTGCTGTACGTGCCGCTGACGCCTATGCAAAGGTTTTGGTACACAAGACTCCTCACCAAAGCCGACAGCCGTCTAGTCGACGAGCTTTTTCAGGACGTTAAGGGTAAAGAGGTCAACGCGCTCAAAGCCGAGGCTGAGGAGGACGCGGCTCTGGCGAAGCTCCAGTCGATGCACCCTAGCCAAGAAGGTTCTAACGAGTGGCACGAAAGCAAGGAGATTATACGCCAAGCTTTGGAGGAGGAACAGAGCACCATTGCCACCAACAAATCCGCATGGCGGAAGTTGATGAATCTAGTCATGCAGCTGCGCAAGTGTTGTAACCATCCGTACTTGCTACCAAATGCGGCACCGGTTCCTTACCTTGTTGGTGAGCATGTCGTCCTCGCTTCGGGCAAGTTCGTCGTTCTACGAAAGATTCTCCAGGACTTGATCGTGGAAAAGCGCAAGAAAGTGTTGATCTTCTCTGGCTTCACCGGCATGCTCGATTGCACTGAGGATCTCTTGGCTCTGATTGGGGGTAATGGTAGCGACTTTCGTTACTTGCGCCTTGATGGCCAGACGGGACGCGCAAGGAGAAATCTTGCTATTCGGATGTTTAATGACCGCTCCTCTGAATACAAGACCATGTTGATCTCGACCAGGGCCGGAGGGCTCGGCATCAATCTCGCGTCCGCCACAGATGTCATCTTTTTAGACGAAGACTGGAACCCCCAGATCATGCTCCAGGCCGAGGCTCGCGCGCACCGTATCGGCCAAACTCAACCAGTCACTGTGTATAAGCTCTGCACGCAAGGCACTGTCGAGGAGCAAATGATGGGTCGTATTAGGAAGAAGCTGTACCTGTCTGCCAAGATCACTGAGTCGATGCAGAATAACTATAGCACACCCACCAAGTCAGGCAGGGGTAAGAAAGCATCGTCTGAAGGTGTCTCGGACGACGTGCCACAACTCGGTACCACCCAGCTCATGTCTCTGGTTCGTCGCGGAGCGCAGACCCTCTCTCACCCTGAGATTGATGCCACCGAGATGCTATCGTGGGACTTACCCACTATTCTGGAAAAGTGCAGAGACAAGCCTAGTGATCCTCACATGAGTGAACAGTCAGCGTCGTCCTCTTCCGACTCTGACGAAAAGAAGTGGCTCTCAGTGATGGAGAAAGTAGAGTGCGCTGTCTTCGATGGGCGCAAATATCAGAAGCAGCTGCCAGCGGACGACAGGATCCTCTCTTCAGAAATCACTAGAGCAGATCGCCGGAAGGACAAGAACACCACTGTAATGGTCGATGGTTTTGCCATTAACAAGGAGAGCATGAGATGCGCTGACTGGGAGGCTGTGCCCACAATGGCGGGCAAAGATCCTCGTCTTGCTGAGCCGAAGCGTGAGAAGAAGCCTGAGATGGTGAACCAGGAGGTATTTCGATCCAGCCCTCACAGACTCCTCACAAGAAACCGCTGACAATGTGTAGTACTGTCAAATGTGCTGGAATGGTGGTACGATATACTGCTGCGCACGATGTCCGCGCAGTTATCACCAGAATTGCCTGCCTAAAGCCTTCGAAGCCAAGATCAAGGCCTTTGGATCAACCTTCTGTCCGCAGCACTCCTGCTTCGACTGCGAGAAGAGCACCAGCGACGCCGGCAACCTCATCTATAGGTAAGGAAGACCACGCCCTTTTATCCCGTCCCTCTTCTTCTGCAATTCGTAAAGGTTTCACGTCACTGACACGCAGCCCAGATGCCGCTGGTGCGAGAAAGGTTTTTGCGAAGACTGTCTGGACTTTGACCGCGCGGATCTAATCGGCGAGACTCTGCCCGAATACGAGGCCCTCGGATTCACGAAACCGGAGAATCATGCCTTTTACATCAGATGCCACCAATGCCGCGAATTGCACAAAGACCCTGCCGCCCGCGCTGTCGTTGAGCAGCAAGACGCCTTCTTCCGCGCTCAGTACGCTTCGACGCACGAGCAGAGCCAGCTGCTTGCTGGTATCACTGCGGCCGCGGCGGCCGTCCCGGCGTACACGCCGTCCGATAGTGAAGAGCCTCCGAGCCGCGCGGAGAGCATGACGGAGGCGACGACGGTGGATGGATCGAGTGTTTCTACGCCTAGGGGCTCGGAAGTTGGGCTGCCGTCCCGCAAGCGCAAGGCTGATGTCGGCATCGTTGACGGGAAGAGGTTTCGTTTGAAGCTGAACATGCCGAACCTGATGGGCTGAGCAAGGCTGTATCTACCCTGTGCAACGTTCGACTCTGTCCCCGGCGAGTCGCTAGCGCGTCGTTGCTGAGACCAGACTGGTCTCTACGCCGCTGTTTCTTTCTGTCCTCTTCCTCTTTGTGCGAACTACTTCGGCGCTCTTGACGACTGCGGCACGGGCGCTGTGCTGCGCAAGACTTGTAGCGCGATTCTGAGATACCCCATACTTCATGGTTGTACTGAGCTGGTCTGAACCAGCTGGCGGTGGGGAACGTATACCTGGCATGTTCTTTTGCGGGTCTGATGCACTCCTGTCGTCGCATCTTGATGTTCACTTCACGGAACGTCTTCAGCATGTAGAGACATTTCGAAACGATAGAATACAATACATGTACTACCGCTCTTTCTGCGATTTGTGGTTGTATGTCTTCGCCAGTTCTGTGCATCGTGACTGTCTTGCTTGCCGACACCTGTGGTCGGATCACTCTTACTTACCGTCGCGCCTCTGGGCACTCATGCGTGGCTAGGTCGGCTTCTCAAGTTTCGCCAGCCCATCCACAGGTCCTGAGTCTCAACAACGTGCTAGCCGGCCGCGGTCATTCCGCCGCATTCTTTTCGAGCGATTGCTACTAGCAAACATTTGCACGTGGCATCACAGTTTTTTATGGTTCTGGGTTCTTAGTATTGAAAGTATTCAGGATATTAAAAAAGTTTAGTGCTATGTAGCTCTTCGCTGTGGGACGCCGAGCTGATGTAAAATGGACCAGAGGTTGGGAAGCGGGTAGTGGAAGATCTGGAAATGGGTAAATGTGGCATCTAGAGGCTTTGATAAGTTTGAGTAAGGGAATCGAAACTTCGTCTGGTTCGTCTGCAGGGGTTTCGTGATGGCAAGACCGTTACGAGGATCCACTGGGAAGGAGAGGCAACGTTGGGACAAGCCCGACCTAGACAGTGTTGATGGTGACTGCAGCACAACAACTACGAAGCCGAGATAGACTACCGTGCTAAGTTGCCGATATGTTTTCAGTTGACATGCCTTGCTGTATGCTGAGCCATCCTTATCTGATACTTTCAACTACCATAGAAATGCTCAGCCGCAACGCTAGAAGCAGCTCACGAGCGTTGACGTGCTTGACTCCTGATCTCTTCTATCTAGTCTCACACATCATGCAGTAGCCGAGAGTCGAATGCCGGAGCCTTAGTAGGTAGCCATGACATTAACGCAAGCGAAGTACTGCAAGCACTTGGGACGTAAGTTGTGAGTTGTTAATCGCCCGTTCTCCGGTTGTGTACGCTTCGAGTTAAGGTACATGAGACTTCGTCGAGAAGAAGTAACTCCGAAATGAAGTGCAACAGAAGCTGTTGTCCCGCTTCCAGGGCCAGTATGGTTTGCGTACCCAGCCTAGAGCCTCCTGTCAGTAATAGAAACTCCATGTGTCACAGGAAAGATCAATGGCGCCGGACTTGGAAGAGCAGAGAATCACGTGATGCTACTATATCTACCACTTCCATAATCCAAAGATCTCCGCAACTCCACAGATTCACACTGCGCTCTGCTCCATAGGAAACAGCCATATTAGCATCGACAGTAGAACACTGTTAAAGAAAAGATGCACATATCTCCAGGTAACGCTTCGGATTTCCAATGTCAGCATGCGACGTGCGAGTTGCGTCAGATGGTCGTGCAAAGCCACGCCTGACATTGCGCCTCCGTCACTCTTGTCCCCAAGTTCGATGTTTTGGCAGCAGTCTCTCATAGTGACTTCACTCTCCAACCCTCTTCATAACCCCAGTGAACCGTCCTCTAAAACCGTCTGCTCTCTTCCAACCTCGATCTATCTACGCTCTCAAGCGCTCAAGTCAAACTCCTCGACGCCATTTCACTTCCATCAAAACACTCAATCTAAATCCCCACAACTCTTCAATCATGTCATCCATCACCGGCCGCGCAGCCTTCAAAGCCACCCGCGCCCTCCGCCGCCCCTCCGGCGTCAACGCCGGCGACCGGCGAACCGGCGAACCGGAATCCCTTCTCCGCAAAATCACTCACACCGACACCTACAACAAAGGCGAGCGTACCCTACGCAAGGGCGCCAAGCGGGACCCCGAGCTCTACATTCTCTACGCCATCACAGCCACCACGATGGCTGGAACGGGATGGTACCTGCCGCGATTTGCGCAGACGCTGTTCGGCGAGGTGCTCGAGGTGCCGCAGGTGCCGGAGTCGGAGCCGTGGAAGAGCAACGGGGCGAAGGAGGGCAAGTACAAGTTCTATCCGTACGGAGACCCGAGGAGGGGCGAGAGGGAGGCGCCGAGTGCGATGAATACGGTTATTGTGCCGAATGTCAACTTGCCGAAGAAGTTGCATGATATCTACAACAAGTACGGGAAGCCGGAGTGGGATGTCTGAAAGGGGGAACTGGGAGACGGAGAGTGAGGGGTGGAAGGCCTTACTGAAAGGTTGAACTTCTTGAAGATTCGCGTTGCTCACTGATGGTTGACTCGAGGAGTGGCTTTGCTCTTGCTCTTGCCCTAACTCTGGGATTATGCCACCGTCCCTACGGGAGGACAGTGAAAGCTGTCTTTGCTTAAAGGCTTCCTTCAGCAGCTCTATGAAGAAGTTATCAGAACTTTTACACCAGATGTTTCTGACACCGCAACTCTTTTACCACGCCTCCCAAACTCACCAGCGTCCACCCAATCGGCCATTACGACCCGAAACCGCAGCACCGACAGATGCTAACTCACAAATGAAGGTGCTTTGTCCGCCCATCGTGTGTAGCAGACTCTCACGCGGCATCCCCTTTGTCAAACAGTCGCACTAGACTTCGCCTCACTGCCAACCGACGGCTCGCCAACGGCATATAGAACCCTGAATTTGTTCAGCAAATTACTACGTACTCTCTCAACTGTCGTGCTCAACCTCCAGCAAGGTGTTGACCTTGGTCTAGTCGGCGTCCAGCAGGTTGGGTTTTTAGTCCGCGGACTAGGCGCAAACGGCATCAATGCTCGTAGTCCTTGTCGCATTAGCAGAATGGCATAAACATAATCGGACACTCTTGTCATCCAGTAAGACCTCAGAGTATGGAATACGGGAGATGACTGGAAAGTCGCTGAAACAACGAGACAATTGAACATCAATCGTTTCCTCTGAGACAGGTACTACTCAGATCTGCGTCGGGGAGAGCAGCTAGCTAGGTACTGTGCTAGCGTTGTCTCTTTAGCAGCCGTGACACCTGGCTCGAGATAGCCGTTTGGGCATCAACGTGGAACGACCGGCTGGGAACCTGGCGTGAGCAACGTACGACCTTGCCTCTAGGTTCCGCGCTCCACTTTGCACCGCATCATTGCTCGCATACAGGAGACCACACTGAGCGCAATTGCTTGTTTATGGACTGACTTGCTCGATGTCCGCGAATCGACTCTTGTGGTAGGAGTAACCGGCCGCGCTCATATTGTGAGGTATTGATGCCCCCTGGCGTCTACTAAGATCAGCATTGCGCGCCAACTACTTAGCGATGCCAGAACGCTGTTATCACGCGATTGTCGCATGGTCTCAATAGACGATGATGAGCAGGGCGACGCGTGAGCGAGCGAAGTGCAAATACGGTCTGCTTCCATCTCCAATAGGATGCGGAGCCGGATGGGCATGGCCGACGCTGCTCAAGACGCTGCCGTGCTCTGTATGAACAGCATGAATGAGTTGGCAAGGGCGGCTGCAGGCATGGTGCTCGTCTGGAAGCTTCGCCGTTGCTTTCTCGCCTTCTAGAAACTTGATATTCAACGCTCTCCGGTCGACCTTAGCTACGTGCAGAACGCTGTGCAACGCGCACACAGAACGCTGGGTAACGTGACCCTGATGCTGTCCACGAGAGCGTGGCAGCCACCTGCAAGGCGATGGAACAGGACGGCGGTGCAGCATCAGTGCCTGAAGCTTGCAGACGGTCTGTCCTTGCTCTCGCTGCAGCTTCTCTCACCGGCCATTTATTGAGGCTCCGGCCAACACTCACTCCAGGAATGCGCATTGACCGAAGCTGGCCATTCAATATCCCGGTCCGGTTCACCCGGGAGCAGCGAGCGCTTGCAGTTTACGCTTGTTTTGTGGCTTCTGGCGCAGGGATCGAGACGACGGCCTTACGACCATTCAGGCAAGCGTCCGGATAGCTCCCTGTTGCGGAATAACTTAGCTAACGGAAATTGCCGGACTCCAACATCACGAATCCGTAGTGAGCGTTGATAGAAAGCCTTGCCGGATACAACAGTACCGCTTAGTTAGCGGCGAGGGTAAGCAGAGACGCCTGGATATGTTGTGGAGACGTCTGGCGGCAGGCACGGACACCGGAATGATCGTGAGTTTGATCGGTTTTGTTGATTTTGAAGTCTATCAATTTCTTTCACCCAGATGCTTGGCCATCCCTGCTCGTGCAGTCCATGGACATCGCCCGGTAAAGTATCGCGCTATGGCCGTCTGCAGTCAAGTGCTTCCTCTATCTGGCTTACTGGTGTCTGTGCTCCCGTCCCTCGAGAGGGCTGAACGCGGTTGAGAGCTGCAGAACCGGGATAGGCGACCGTTTCGTGTCCTCCTGCGATATCGAGCATCGCCTCTGAAATTGGCACAAATGGGAGTGGAGGCCGCTCGCCCCAAGAAGCGGGCTTGCATGGAGAGGAGAAGCAGAAGGAAAGGTGGCAGAAAGTGGAGCGCTGGCCAGCGGCGCACGGGAAGTTGCCGCCATCCGCGGCCAGCTGTCAAATGCTCCTCGGCGGTGCCGTCTGGAGGCTGCAGGAGAGAGGTGCAGGCCTCCAGGTGTGTCTGGGTTGTGTTCCGTGTCAGCAGCTCCTCCGACAACCTGGCCCAAGTCAAGGCGCCGTGACGCACCGCCGAGGCCATGATGATGGGACGCCCCCAGAGCGAGATGCAGGGGAGCTCCTTGTCCAGAAGCGCTTTCATGCGCACCAAACTTTGGCCGCCGCTAACCACACGGCCTGGACAGACCCAGGTCTCCCAGCAGCTCGGGAGCCGAAGACGCTAATCCTGCCACGACGCCCCGCTTTTATTGGGCCCCATGTGGTGTGATGTGCAAGCTCGCGCTCTCCCGTTCAAAACGGCTCCAGCGCCAACTTCCTTCCCGGACCCCCTTCCCTTCGATGGGTTTTGCTGGCTGGGGTTAGGGAAGCGCGAACAAGGAAAAACTCCATTGGACAGAAGGTTGTGGGAGGACAGCAGCACCCAGTGCCTCTTCGTTCTTGATATCGCGACGCTGCTCGTTATCTGTACCACCGACCGCCGAGTCCGTCCTGCCGAACCCATCACGAGCAGAGATATCTCACCTCCTTCGACCGAGCTGATCGCCCCGGCAAGCATACGAGGCCTTATACGCGACTGAAGTGAGCGTTATCGCAAACGCTGTGAAGTCCTTCCAAGGATATACCGTACCGTCATCAGCCGCATACCTACCCGGCCATCCGTCAGAGCCTCGACCAGGAACAAGTACCTCGTTCACCATGAGCTCACCACCACCGGAAAGACCGGCGCCGGAGCGTCGCTCGAGCCTGAGCAAATATATGAAGAGGTTAAAGACCCACATGCGACGGGGAAGCTCGAGCAGAGACGAATCGACTACTCCTCCTGCCGACCCTACGCCTACTGTCGCCGAGGAGCCCGTTGCTGCTGCTATACCTGATCCTGTACCTGATGTCGTGACGACAACAACAACGACGACGGCCATTGTTCCGGTAATAGTGCCCACAAGCACGTGAGTTTCTTCCCACAGCCAGTGCCTAACTGCGCTTATATACTTATACTTGTAGTGGCCCGATGGTAATTGATAACATGCCGGTAACTTCGACCACCTCCGGGGCATACTTCCGCAGCGCAATCCAACAGGAACGCGCCCGTGCTCTTTTCGCCAAGTACGGGCTGACATTGGAGGACCACGAATGGATCACCACAGGCACTACCGCTGTCAGCAGTGAGCGAGTGGAGAAAACTATCCGGATGCGCGTCCGCCGCCAGTGCCATCGCTGCCAGGCAAACTTTGGGCATGATAAAGTGTGCTCGAAATGCGAGCACAAACGCTGCAAGAAGTGTCCTGCCTATCCCCCAAAGAAAGTCATAGCTGCGTTGGAAGACAAGGGCAAGGGTGCTGCACTCAAAGAGGGGGATGCTGTTCCAGTACTCGCACCTATACCGGCGCCTATACCCGTACCTATCCTGCTACCGACACCCATCGCTGTGCCTGCACCCGAGGCGCCCAAAAAGACTCGCATGAGATCTGGCTACCCAATCCTAACTAAGCCGAGCCCTTCTGGCGGACCGGATTTCGTTCGCAAACATGTCTCGCAACGAGTCCGTCGAACCTGCCACAAGTGCGAAGCGTTGTTCGTCCCTCCTACCGAAACGGTTTGTTCCAGCTGCCAGCACGTTCGCTGCGTCCAGTGTCCGAGGGACCCGTCGAAACCGAAAAAGTATCCCCACGGGTATCCTGGAGATGCACCCGCGGAGGAGGAATCAGAAGTCGAACAACCGCTGCGCAAGGAACGCACATGGAGAAAGCCTAGACAACGCATTCGGTGGACATGTGACAAATGCTCGACCCTCTTCATGGAGAAGAGCAAGGTATGCGGTAATTGTAGCCACAACCGGTGTGACACTTGCACTCGAGAGCCGTGAGTCTTCTGTGTTCTGATTGGCGTAACTGTACTTGCTAACAAACCTCCAGGCCGAAAAAGGTTAAGAAAGAGTTCGACCCAGAAGTCGTCAAATCCCTAGAAGAGAAGCTAGCTCGGCTGAAGATGCCGTAGAACCGTCCGGTTACGGCTGCGGCAGCCCGAGGACCGTCCAAAAAGTGTGTACGGGAACGATGTTACGACTCTTCGCGCATTACCATTCTACGATGCGCTAGCGGCGCCTGTTCTATCCTTGAGCGAACGAGCTCTCAGTTTTGAAGCCGATACCATCGCAGCCGCGACAGCGAGCACTTTCCGCGTTCAAGCAGGCTCAGAAGTTCAGTCGTTATTACACGCATAATCTTGTTGCCCATCTACCTAGTTCCGTGCTGTGGACCATGAATTGATGCCCTGCACGATCTCGTGAAAAACTCCCTTCCCACCAGCATCTGTACAACCAAGCCCCTCAATGCCCCCGTCCCTGACGGCCCGGCTTCTTGCGTGCGGTTCAACACAGCCCAACCGTTGCAATATTGGCCATGTTTAAAGCGCGCGCGTGTGTAACCCGCCCACCAGCTGTGCGACGCTGGGCGTTCCACGGGGTCGCTGTCTCCTTCACCCCAGGAGCGCGGCCGGTGGGTCATGCCGTCCGCCTTGGGCGGTCCTTTTGCTTCACAGGGTCAGCTTCGTGGGGAATGAAGATCACCGTTGCACGCGCTGCACGCTTCCGTCTGGGCAACGGTTTGGGTTGTTCTTTGATCGTCGAGCTCATCCCCCATCGTATGTTGCTCATCTAACCGAGAGGTTGGAGATAAAGCATAACTTTGCATAACGCATAACTTTGGTTCGGATGCACGGGCGTCCGAGTTCCCGAGTTCAGGAAGTCAAAATCCCCCAATGCTGCGGGTTTGGGAGGCCGCCGGGATGGACTGGGCTGGGTTGGATTGCACGGACGGGTCAGCCGAGCCGGGTTTAATTTGCAAGGGAGAATCCTGTACAGGCCGGATACGCTCCCTGCTTCCCGCTCTGCAGTCCACCACTCACACCACGGGGCTGAGCTGAGGGTGCTTTGCCATTGGATTTGCGCAGCAGGGTGCGGGTCCAGCCCGCACAAGACTCTCCCTTGTGATTTAATGTGATATCGGACGACTAAAATTTAAGCTTCAGCCAGCTTTGCCGTCACAGCCGTAGACAAGGACATGGCCTGTTGGTTTTGGCTCAACTACACTCACGGACTCCTCGGGGTTTAAAACACCCCTTTCGCACATCCGATGACACCTCGCTAGTATGCAGGCAGCTTTTCGAGTGCTGCGGAGCCTGTCCATGATCGTTCATTGGCCCATATGGCGGAAACGCGCTTATTCGACCAATCAGCTATTGTTCCGGCAGCTCGTATACCCTGCCATAACGGACAAATGGAGGTGTATTCTGATTCCGCCACTCGATATTTCTTTCTGCGGCTATGGCACGACGATGTTTCGACGAAGCAGATTCGCGCGGCTCGGTCCGCCGAGTTGGCATCCCTGGCTCCTTTGATCTTGGAAGCATGTCCTTTGGGCGTGCAACTTTCCAACACCCTCAGTTTAAGATGGGCGGCTCGGGCTCAGTCCGCCTGATCGACAGCCCACAATGTGCTGTTACCGACCCTTCCTTCTCCAATGAACTTCCAAAGACACATCAAGATTCCTGCTTGCAGGGTACCTTGAGTGAAAACAGCGCGGCGGCAACAGAGCTGGCCTCGCTTGCAATCGCTGTGACAAGCGAGTAATGGTCCGAGGACTTGGCATTGGGAAAGGTCGACTTTCTCTAGGTTGGTAGGGCTGTTGGGTTGGAGGCTAGTGCAGTCTGTCACCTTTGTCCTTCTTGGCCGGTCTATTGGCGCCCAAGGAGTTGGCAGTTCGCTTGGGTGTTCTGAGAACTGTTTGTTGTAGACCGGAAGTCGAAAGACTCTGTCCTAGAGGCCCGCCAATGGACCAACCGTCCACAAACAGACGCTTCAACTTCGCAGCTATCTACTGCTTGAGCAGGAATTGAGCACATCAGCTTCCACGCCCTCTCCATGAGACTCTTGGAATTGTGACGGCATGTGGGTGGCGCTTTACGCACTGTGCCTGGATCACACGGAGGGCAGCGAGGTTGTTTTCGATCGTCAAAGCTCGTGGGCAAGATTCTTGGAAATTGGACTTCCTTGTACTCGTAGCTCTCGGGCATCAACGTTAATCCGCCGAGGCTCTTCAAGGTTTTTGCTCCCAGCATCCCCCCGCACGATCCTGTATCCTCAACTCAGGGATCCCTTGAGAGCAAAACTCTTAGCGAAGTGGCGGATGATCTTCCCGTCCCGGTCGGGATAACCCCTTCGTGAGTCGGAAACGTAGTTTCAGAATCCGAACCAAGATTCTGTTCTGCAAGTTACATTTGCTAGGGCTGTGCCGAGGCAGATTGATTCTCGCGTATCATCCAAGTCAGTCTTCCTGGTTTACGCAGCCGTAGAAGCGTATCCCAGATGCCAGGCCGTTACCAAGGGGGGAAGCGGGATGTCCAGCCGCAACCACCGGGACTGGCGACGAACACTCGTACGGAACCTGAGACCACTCCTAGGTCCAGTGCCTACTACCGAAACCTGTCATGAGACGGCTCCTCAACAAGTTTCCTATATGACTCCAGTGGTCCATTAAGGTGAGTCACTTAGAGACAATCAACAACTCGTTTACATCACGCAGAGGACTGATGTGGGAGTGTTTGGATGATATCGAAGGGAGATGCCCGCGTTGGGCACATTCAACCACGATGCCCCTGTGTACAGGCAAGTCGTCCTCCTAGGCTAACAGCTGTTCGGAACCGTGCGAAACGATTCACGTAGCTTCAGTCCGTTATTTCACTTACCAACAGCATGTTTGTATAAAGTTTGGGGAAGAAGGGTTGTTTCAGGGCCAGCTCTGCCCTGATTAGCGGATATCAAGTTTAGCGTTGGACCTCGAGTATGCTCGATCGATAGCTCTGGAAGAGGATCCCGCTCGTGCTGTCTTATAGATGTCCTCAAGGTAAGTCGGTTGGAGAGGAAAGGCGGCCTGTGTTTACGAAGAGCAAGGTTTTTAATGAGGAAGCGGTACCTGTGACCAAGCATCAACAAAATCGCAAGTTCCTATCTGTAACATAACCCTCAAGGCTTCAAAGCTTTTATGGATAAGAAAGCATGCGATTCAGCTGGGCGTTAGGATATAAAACGCATATATATCTTGTGCTATGACTGCCTAGCGATGAGCTGGTAATCGACACCGCTTCATCACTAAAACCCCGTCCTTCGCATCACAAGACGTGTTGGTTTTTCCATGTTTGGAAGATAGCGTAAATGTCAGCCAGCGGCAGGCGCATGGGAACTACGAGGAGGGCAAAGAGGCTTTTGCAGCAAACCAGGTAGTAATTTGCAGCGTAGATTTAAGGTATCTACAGCTTGGTACTGACCAAGCATGCTATGGTACATTTCTATCAATGATTATACAACTTCTGACTCCCCATTCCTTTTTCCACCAGACGCCCGCAATGCACCAAGAAACCGCCAGTGGTATCCAGCCCCGGCACCAATACGCCGACCATGCTACACAGCGCGTTGAACAAAACACAAGACGCGCAACGCTGAACTTCAGAAAATTGCCTCCCACCATCCCACAAGCTTCTACGAACGAACAGTGTACAAGTAGTAGATATCAAGGGCAGAGGACAAGGAGAGAAGGAAGACGCCACAATCCAGAAGAACCACAAGTGTACAAGAGCGGAGAGCCTAAGAGAAGAAATACTGACTATCCCTCAGCCTCGAAACATCAAAGTCTCCCTTCTTCGGTACAGGTGGGAAGGACATCGGCCTCCAAACCTGGACCTTGTACACCGTCCTATGCTTCTTCTTCGCCGGCTTCTCCGGGGTTGCAGACTGCTCGTCGGCAGTCCTGGATTCGGTAGCTTCGGCCACTTCCATTGAGTCGATGCAAGCGTCGTCATCCGCCGCCGCGTTAGTCTCTTCGGCGGGAGAGTCAATCTCCTCTTCGGCAGCCTCCACCTGCTCCAAGTCACCCGCAAGCGCGCTGTCCACTTTCTCCGCATTATGCGCCTGCACCTGCCCAAGCAGCACCTCTCCCAGCCCCGCCGGCTCCGCGATCGCCGACTCACCCGCCTCAGCCTCAAAGATGCTGCACGGCGTAACCATCTCCTCACCCCGCTTCCTCTCCTCCGGGTCCTCAGAGTCCAGCAGCTTCCGGCGCTTGACCTCAAGAACCAGCTCATTGATATTGGCGTTGGCCGCCCTGGACCAGGTCATCTTACTCGACAACAACTTCTCCGCCTGAAGCCTCCAGGCAGCGATCTTCTGGCCGACTGAGGTGGCCCTGACGATGCTGGTGATGTACCAGCTTCCGGCGTGGCGGGCCTGGAACTCGGCTGCGAGCCGGCCGACGATGTCTTCGGAGTGCATCCGCACGAAAGCGTCGCGGAGGACGCGGTTCATCGCTGGAACGTCGGCGGCGTGGGTCCAGAAAGAATCGTGCACGGAGGCGAAGGTCAGGCCGATCTCGTTGCACTTGAGGGCTGAGAGCAGCATGTGGGTTGCGTCAAGGGAGTGGATGAAGTTGGGCGGGAAAGCTTGCAATTGCTTGCGCTTCTCGACAGCGTCGGTGAGGCGGGGTTGCCGGATGCTGATGTTCTGAATCATTGTTCGTATCTGGCTTACTTTGGTCTTCCGATAGGGTTGAACGATTGGCATCTTTAGTGGTGTTGTCCAAATGACTCCGTTCTTGAATTGGGTGATATCATCGTTCACCCCCCCTTTTTTTAGCTTGTTGCGTGCTTTCCGGAACTTTATGTCAGCGCTGGCTGCCGCCCCATCGGCTTCTGCGACGATGAGTGCGATTTGCTCGGCGCTCAATGACGTGAGTATCCGGGTGGCACATTCGCCTAACCAGTACTGAATGTCGTGAGCGCCTCCAAACATCGAGGCTAGCGCAGCGAAGATCTTTCGGGCAATGTAGGCTGCAAGACCAGGGAGGCCGGCAAACCCTGGCTGTTCCTCGAACTTTGGAAAAATGTCCCTGAGACGGGCCTGGACCTGCGCTCGAGCTCCGGCAAAGGTGACACCGTAGACATTAGTCATGACAGTCTGCTTGACTACCTTGCGAGAGATGTGGCCATCAAGGAACTTGGCTGCAGGGTTGCCCTCTGCTGCCTCTTGTTTGATCTCGGCCTTGACGAGTTCTGCAACTGCAGTATACACATCTTGCGGTCGATCGCTGGGTTCCAAATTAACCTGGCTCGCACCAGCCTTATCACCTCCGAGTGCTGCGTAATGCTGCAAGCCGTTACAGGTGCCGTCCTGGTGGACCGGCAGATGCGAAACGTAGCGCGTCGGATCCGGAGAGTTGAACGCAGCCTCAAGCTCGAAGCAGGTTGCTAGACATTGCCACGGATCTTCTGCCTTGAGCCACCATCGCCTGCCGCCCAGTGGATTTTTTGCTGAATCACAGATGTCGTCCATGTGCTTGGTCGCGAACTCTTCTCTCTCTTTCAAGCTTGCTTTGTCGTAGCCAGCCAGATTGGCCAGATGCACTTTAAGCCACGGCAAGCCAACACTGCCCAGCTCTTTACCCGTGCCGAATACCAACAGCCCTCTCGCAGGATCGGCACCCATGTGGTTGAAGAGCGGCGGCAGCGGGTAAGCCCTTCCACGGAAGTCGAGATTGTGTGGGAAGTAGAACACCTCATCCCGGAGAGCGCGAGCAATCTCTAGTTGGAAGTTCTGGTAGCATCGCTGCGAATGATAGCCGCTCTTCGTGTTGTCGATCTCCTTGATTCTCTTAAGCCACCACCTGCGCTCCATTGGGTCCGCGTCCTCCTTCGGCTCGGGCGGATACGGAATGTCCGGGTTCTCGGGCGCTAGTTCCCCGATTGCTTCACCAGTATTCCAGGCATCCGCCATGACATCGAGAACTTTGCTGTTGATACGCCAAGGAGTCCTGCCTAGCACATTCAGGCCAGCGAAGACCTGATCTAGATCCCCCTTTTCAGCGGCGGCTACTGCATAGACCTTCTGGATATCATCTTGCCCACGTTGTCGCACGACGGGCGTAGGATATCGTAGAAAACCTCCCTCTCTATACCCGGTCCACGGTTTGGGCTCAACAACCATTGGGAGTCGTGCACCGAGTGCCCCACGTGGAGGCTCCGTCTTGATCTTTTTGGCAAGCTCCTCATGAGCCTCTATGTGACCAACTCTTCGGCCTTTCTCGAAAAGGACTGTATGTGAAAAGGCCGGTTCTTGCACCGTAACCGTCTTCCCAGTCTTTGCGTCCGTGCGAGTGACGGGCATTCTGCAGACTTCGATGACTTTGGATATCAACATAGCGCCGACTTTGGCTTTCACAACTGCTGGCCATTCCAGACGCTGCATATGCTTTACTTGCGTGGCCTCGTCAGGCTTAGGAGTAGCCATCGGAGTAGCCATCGAGGGTCGCAGTCGGAGCGGCCCTCTGGACATCTTGGCGAGGGCTTGCAGCCGCTCCTGCGATAGGTGCTTCCGGCCGGAAGCTTTGGCTTGTCTCTTGTGGAGTTCGATGGTGCTATCTGTTTCCAGCTCAGAAGCCAACTTCATAGCAAGCGGACCGAGCCTGCATCCAAGCACGCCGTCGGCAGAGCCGTGCGAACTGACAAGTACAATGATCGACTGAGCTGCCAGCTTCTCGGCAGTGAAAGGCTCGAGAAATGGTCCGTAGCGCAGCTGGTCGCTTTGTGAGTGTTCCTTCGGATTGTCCAGGGCTTGCCGTATCGTTTTTATCTCCTCCTTCAGTAGAGGCAGCAGTTCGGTATACCACTGCCACATGAGTGCTTCCAAGGGCTTCGATTTGAGGGCAGAGCTGATACCAAGCTTTTTCAGGTTCTCGTTCTCCGCTCGCCATCTGTCAATTGCAGCGTCCACAACATCCTCCTCCATCCGCGATTGCCTCGCATGAGCTAACGACATACCATACTCTTTCGACTGAGCGTTCGGGCTATTCAGCTCATGGCTGGGATCGAATATCGACAAAGCTTTCTTCAGGGTCTGCAGCCCTAAGCCTTTCTGATGAACAGGACGGATGTCGGGAATCGCACTGTTGGAATCACCCACCGGCTGCAAGCGCAACACTTCACCTTCGGATTGCGCCTCATCTGCCAGGTTCTCAACAACTTCAGGCGGCGGTCCGTAGAACCGATCTGGCTGGGCGTTGCATATAGCAGCAAACTCCTTTTTCGTGTATTCCTCCGAGTTCATTGTATCGGCATAGACTTGCTCATCGGATTGCTCAGCAAGATGCATATATCTCCGCAGTGTCCTTGCTTGTTTTGATCCTTCCATGTGAGCCACGGTGGCCCGAATCATCGTAACGTATGTCCTTGCATCTGGAGTGACATCCTTAGCCCTCATCTCGACTTCGAACCATTTCTGCATAGCTTGTAGGCTCGCTCCAGGCCGCTGGTGTTCTGCCGCCTCTGCCATGCCTTCGAGAAAAAGGTTGTGCGCTTCGAGCAGTTCTATAGCATGTGGTGTGTAGATATCCGCTAATCGTCGGACCAGCGCCGCCGCCCGTTCTATCCGCCCAACGCGTAAAGAGGCATATAGATTCTGGTAGAGCTCCGTCGGATCTCCCCCAATGCCTAGTCTTGTCATTATGGTGGGTGGCGAGACCGTCGCGGTGGATTGGAAGACAACGATGTCGGAAGAAGTCCATGCTCTGAGGTCGGACAAGCTGGGCGTGGCTCGGCTTGTGCTCCATGGTTGGCTTTGATTCAGGAGATGGACACCTTCGAATGGTATAGAGTCCTGTGGCGAATGCACAAAGTCGGCCGCGGTGGCCAGTGAGCGCGTGGCTGTCCTTTGAACCGCTGGTCTACTCGTCTTATGTCTCCTTGGCTCAGCAGACGATCCGTTTGCCGCCGCCGTCGCCGTGCTCCTCCTCGATGCCAGAAACGCCGGACATAGCCAGGGGAGACGTAGTTGCTCGAAGGATGGCGTTAGGTGTTGGAATGCGTCGCGTCGTACTTTGCGCCGTGCTGCGTGGGCGAGCATGGCCGGAGGCGATATGAGGGATGGGGTGGTCGAGGAAGAACGCAAGGCGGAATCGCACAATCGCACTAAGCTCAAGCAGCGCGCAGAGAAAGAGACGGAAGGAAAGGAGCGAAGAAACCCGACACGGAACCGATGGACGCAGAGACAGCAGGGCCGGGTAGCAGAGGTGGGTAGCAGAGGTGGTGATGTACCCCTAGGAGGCGAAATCTTCTGGACTTGGCGTTTCGGCCGGGGGTCCAAGCGTCATGTCCTCGAAGCCTTTCATCGACGCCTTTCGGGTAACCAACAACAACAGGATATTTTACCTAACGTCCTCTAACTGCTCGAGTAGAAGAACGTCAAACTGTATCGGTACCGCTGGGACGTTTATGAAGTCTCAAGAATAATCTACAGTCCTTGGCACACAGTGGCAGGCCACTCAACGCGGCCGATCTGCGAGTATACAAGTTGACGCCATCAAATGCTTGCTGTACATCCGCTCTAGCAAGACCAGATGCCAATCATGCCGTCCTTGCGCCCCTCGACAAGGTAGCCATCTTTGATCCTGACCCTCTCAACTGTCGAGAAGACTCCCCCTTCATCGTCCGCAGCCGCGCCTGGCCCGCAGTCCCAATGCCTGCCATCCGTCTTGTCATACACTTTGACCACATCCTCGCCAGCAGCTGCAACAATGCGGCGGGCGTCGAACATCATGCTTGTGATGGGGTTGTCGAATGCAAACGCGTCATATATCGAGCCTGTTCGTAGATCCCATATCTACTGCAGGTCAGCGATAGTCACGTGAGATGAGTGGACTATGTGCTTACCCGTATGCTCCGGTCGAGACTCCCTGTGACAAGGTGGACATCGTCGAACTGCAAAGCAGACACAGGGCCAGTGTGTCCCACAAGACTGCGGTGCACTTGGCCGCTCCTCAAGTCCCATAGCCGCACCATGCCATCAGCAGTACCGCAAGCTAACGCAGCATCGAAACACTGGACGGCACCCACAAAGTCGGCCGTAGCATCTGGTAGTCGGCCAGTCTGTCGCCATTGACCGTTGGAGGAGTTCATCGTCGATGAGGCTTGCGCGGCAGCCCATAATACATCTAGCGTCTGGACACAGCGCCCCTTTACCAGGTCCCATTGCCTCAGTGTCTTGTCCGCAGAGCCAGATACCAGCGTGTCGCCTTTGAAATGCAGCGCAGTGACTTCGGCCACATGCGCCTCGAGCGAGAACATGGGACAGTCCTTCATGCTGGTCGGTGGCGGTGCCGGTGGAGCAGCCTCGGGATCCTCAAAGCCTAGTCCATCATCCTCCTCTTCTTGACCGTCTTTGTTGATACGGTTGTCCTGCGGCGCGTATTCAGCACGACTGAGGTCCCAAAGTCGGATTGAAGCGTCCATGGATCCGGTTGCGACAATATTGTCTTCCACTTGAAGACACCTTACCGATGATAAGTGGCCCTCGAGCAGTCCCATACATCGCCCGGCATGGAGATCCCAAACCCTCACAGTGTCGTCCAGTGCCGCCGAGACCATCGTGCCGAATGGCGCATCGAAATCCATTGCCGTGATGGCGTCGTTGTGCGCTTGAAGTTCTCTGATCTTGGATCCTGGATCCATGTGCTCGTGTAGCACAGGCATCGATATCCGTCTGTGCATTTTGTGCCGTCTCTTTGAGCGTGGTGATGGTGCCGGAGGTAGTTTCTCATAGATGGATTCAGACATGAACTCCGGCGTGTCTGCCGTGTCCGCTTCGGCCTTCACGCTGGGTGACTTCTGCGCCAGTGCAGCGGCATCCTCCAGCTCCTCCTTCATGTCGTCCAGCTTGTTGTCCACCTCGTGCAGTTCATGCTCTAGCTCCGCCTCTTCGTGCTCGAGCCCTGCCAGCCGGTCCAGTACTATCTTTCGCATGGTGTTCAGGTTGGCGATCTTGTTGTCTATCTCCCTGATCTCAGAAACGCACATGTTCTTCCGTACATTCATCATCTCCAGGCGGTGACTGAGACTGCGCTTGTCATTCTTCAGGCTGGCCAAAGCTGGCGGTCCATCAGTGTCCTCCTCAGCCTCCCCAAGTAACCGTTGTCCTCGCGAGTTATGCTGCCCGTGCCGCCTTTTACTCCCCTTCTCTTCCTCAGGCACGATCGCCTGAAACCCCTGGAACAGGGAGTATGTATTACTGCTCTCCGGTATCTGCGAAAGAAGCTCATCAGGTAGGTATGCTAGTGCCCGCTGAGATATCTCCGGCGCAGAGAGCTTAGACCGTATTAACTCCCTGGGCGTTGCTTGGCTCAATGAGCTGAAGACCGACCGCTGCACCATAGGTCGCCGTAACTCCCTGTGTAAGTCGCCGAGCGCATTTTGATAGTGCTGGTTGACTCCGGCTTCTCCAAGCGGTCCGATGAGGTGGCCTGCGGTGGCTTGGACTTTTCTCCCGAAGGCTTCGAGTTGTCGGCTCTGTGTTTGGCTGTTAGAGCTTCGCTACAAGGGCGACCTGATGAGACAGAAGACCCTACGGTTATGCTATTGCTGAGAAACGACTCATCCTCAGGCGGTGATCCTGGTCTGGGCCTGCCAGACCTGCCAGCTCGCGCTGGAGAGTCATTTCGGCTGCTGGAGCTTGCCATGCGGTAAACGAGAGGGGAGGTAGCTTCCTGACCACTTCCAACGAGATGTGAGGTATTTTAGGGCCTGAGCATCATGTCCTTCGAAGCTGAAAAGCGATCTCTGTGAAGTACGGTCTTTATCGTAGATGGCGCGTGCTGCAGACTCGTGATGATGGAGGCGTGGTGTTGCAACACTCGAGAAACCCACCGCTGGCGGGAAAGCCAAACACCTCCGATGACGGCACCCGCACGCGATACCCCAAGCAACTCGTTCACAACGCTCTGAATCGAACACAATGGATGCCGCAATTGATCTTTCGGACGCGTCGAAGGCGCTGGATCTGGCGAATATAAGATATCAATTGATGTTGGTGAACTAAGCCTCAGCCCAGAGTGACATCGAAGCCCCGCTGACCAGTCCGCAGCCGCCTTGAAGACACAATAACCTTCCACCTGATCGAGCGCGTACAGTTCCCTCTGAACAAGACTATCTATGTTCCTGGCGGCGTACAGATACCGAACAGCTCCCTAAGCCTCTTTGACTGGATCCTGCGCGAGCAAGAGCGCCTCCACTCCCTCGTCCGCCGATACCAAGCACCAGACGAATACCCCTTCTTCCCCGACGCGCTTGAGGAGCCGATTCTGAAGCCTCTAAATTATCCCAAGGTTCTCCATCCGAATAACGTAAACTTCAACGAGAAGCTGAAGCAGAGCTACATCGAGCACATCCTTCCGGCAGCTTGCGCCAAGTTCGGGAGAGAAGAGCGGGGCGAAGCGCAAGAGAACTATGGGTCGTCCGCCACATGCGACGTTCAGTGCCTTCAAGCCTTGTCTAGACGAATACACTTCGGCAAGTACGTTGCGGAAGCGAAGTTTGGCAAGGAGACGGACCGGTTTGTTGCGCTGATCAAGTCGAATGATCGGAAAGGGATTGATGAGGCAATTACGGATGCAAAAGTAGAGAAGAAGGTGTTGGAGCGATTGAGACTCAAGGCGAAGACTTACGGTACTGACCCCGACGGTGGTGCGGACGAGCCGGGAAAGATCAATGTGGAAGCTGTGGTCGCGATGTATAAGGTTGGCTGGATTGTCTGGTGACGAGAACACATGCTAATGCTCAAGCAGGACTATGTTATACCTTTGACGAAAGAAGTCGAGGTTGAATACTTGATGCAGCGACTGAAAGGTACTCAGTATGAGTGAGAGAGTGCATGTAGCATTTAGAAACGTCAAAACAACCAATGAAGAATAGGGGTGGTGCCCAAACAAGTACGTTGTCTCTAGAATCGGTACCTTGATCGGTAGTCAACAACTGACGCCGGGTGCAGCTTGAATATTGGGTGACGATGATACCCATGCAAGCAGTTCGAGACCAGAAGCCTCTTGTCGTCCGCAGTGCCGCATTACTCCTCTTATCATCGACTTTTGCATGTCATGCAGGGAGAGCCCTTGCTGCCGTCCGAGTCACGTGATAGCACTCCAGAAAGCCGGGAAAGAAGACGGGTCATTCTGGAGGTTGATGCTCACTTGTCCTAACTCGATACCTAGCGAAGCTTCAGATGAAGCAGCACAGAAGACGCTCAGTACATGATGTGAGGTATCGCTGTGCTACCTTTTACGTTATAGTCGCCCTTGGGGAGCCGTCACAGATACCCAAACGCCTGCAATGCTCGACTCCGCGCTCTTCCATCCTAGAAACTACCGTGAGACCCATGCCTTGCCTCCAATGAACCAACAGACGCCCGAGTACTGAATCGAACGGTGCGAGAAGCAACACAAGATTGTGGAAGGGATCACACCATAGCCGTCCCATTACCAACAGTGTCCGTTCTTCCACTGTTGCCCGCTCCATTCATCCTCGGACCTCTCATCTCCATCTCCAGCTGATGTTCTTCTGCGTCGTCGCCCCGGCGTCTACCAGCTGTCTCCTCAGAATCCACATCCATCTCATCTTCATCGATGCCTTCTTCCTCCCCTTCTTCCTCCCCCTCTTCCTCCCCCTCTTCCTCTTTCTCCTCATCATCAACAGCCGTCACACTATCATACCCATTCACCTGCCCGCGCCCCTCACTCTGCGCATCCAGCGCCTTCTCGCCCCGCACAAGCCCCAGCGTCGTCTGCCCATTCGCCGCCAACCCCTGCTGCTCTTTCCTCGCCTTCTCAGCCTCCTGGCGCCGCTTCACATCCCCCCACTTCACCGTCCTTGGCACCACGCTCTCGAGGAACTCCAGGTTGTCGAAGCGCGCGACCGCTGTAGCGACGTCTCGGTACTGGACGTTCCGTCTGGGCTTCTTGGTCTCTGACTTGACGACATCGTGCGCCTTCTCGGCGAGGTACTGGATGAACATCTCAGTCGCGCAGGCGATGACGAAGGCGGCGTTGTTGGAGCAGGGGCCGACTTCGTCATCGGCGTGGATGATCTTTTTGACGCGGGCGACTGTGGTTGGGAGGAGCATGTCAGTATACTGGGTGCTTTATGACCTCAGACGGTAACGAAGAAACAGATATAGCAGCCCCCAGCACAAGATATTGGGAGCAACGCGCGGCCAGGCGAATCTGACATGATTGTGCAACCGAGGTTGCTGATCCCAGGGTCGTATGAACTCTAACTCCATATCTTCAATGTCCTCGTCCGCAGCCGGGTTGAGTGATAATTCCATGGGCTTGTTGTCGCAACGCGCGCACTCCAATGTCTCCCCGGCTGGGCATGGTAACGGATCCTTTGGCCGGATAGTGTACGTGAAAGGCCTCACGCGGGTGTGATTCACGATGTCCCCGACCCTCATATTTCCAAGTCGAGGATACATGAGAAAGGACTATGCGAGACTGGGTACGTACGTGGTAGTGATACTGTTCCGGTATACTCCTGAGGCGGAGCGATGGGCGTATTGTTGTATGGCATCTTGGCGATTGGTGTGTAGAGTATGTAGTAGGAACGGAGATATCAGAAGAAGTCAGGTCGTTGGAGCCTTCTTGGCGTGAGTACTGGTTGCAAGCGGGGTGGTGGAAGTCGACCCTGTCCCTGTAGGGACTTCCTGAGCTCAGTCGCGGTACACTATCTGCAGTAGATTAAGAGACATGAGAGTCAATGACGCGTAGCAAACTCCGTAGTCTTGCGTGTTTGTGCTTCAACGCGTAAGATCAAATTCGTGGACTTGATATTCCCCTCGTTCGCGCCGGAACTCAAAAGTGCTGTGCCGGAGAAACTTCGGAGCCTCATACAGTACTCAAGCTCACATCCATCTGCCTGGACCCTTCCGATGCTCAATCTGTAAGACCGACAAGCACTCGACGAGCGCATATAGAACGTGGGAGGATATCTCAAAGGTCACCCTGCTGCCGACAACACGATGCTATGAACCGCCGACCAAGCGCCCTTACCGTCCGCCGCAGGTCCTCCGTTATCCCCGCAGCCCAGCTCACACGGCGCGCATCCGCCATCTCTAACGCCGAGTCCGGCTACGATGAAGCCGCGCTGACCGCCGACCAAGCCATCCACGAAGAAATTGACGAGATCAAGAGATATGAGGACTTCACCACGATCGATTGGGTCCAAGATGCGGCTCGTGAGCAGCTCCGGCGCAAAGCTCGGCGGCAGGAGGCTGCGGGCTTCTTCGAGCGCAATGGCCGCCTAGGATGGCGGAGGAAGCTGTGGGAGTCGTATGATGCTGGGCAGGCTTGGATCGTGGTCACGCTCATTGGGGCTGCAATCGGTCTGAATGCGGCTTTCCTCAATATCGTTACGGAGTGGCTGTCGGACATGAAACTTGGATATTGTACAACAGCATTCTATCTGAATGAGAGCTTCTGCTGCTGGGGAGCGGAGAGTGGGTGTGCGGAGTGGCACAGATGGAGTTCGTTTTGGCCTGTAAATTATCTGTTTTATATCGTCTTCTCTGTAGGCTACTCTCCTATACCCACCCATGTCCAGCCCGCTGACTGCGCCGCAGGCTGTCTTTGCGTTCAGTGCGGCACGCCTGGTGAAGTCGTTCGCACCGTATGCCGCTGGGTCTGGCATTTCTGAGATTAAATGCATCATTGCGGGTTTCGTTATGAAGGGGTTCCTCGGTCCTTGGACCTTACTCATCAAATCTATCAGCCTACCTCTAGCCATCGCCTCTGGTCTCTCCGTGGGCAAAGAAGGTCCCAGCGTTCATTATGCTGTATGCACAGGCAACGTCATCTCGCAATTCTTCGCAAAGTACAAGCGCAATGCTTCGAAGACTCGGGAGATCCTAAGCGCCTGTGCCGCCGCTGGCGTTGGAGTCGCCTTTGGAAGCCCAATCGGTGGTGTGCTCTTCTCGTTGGAGGCAAGTGGGTCCTCCAGTGAGATCGTTGTCCCGCTGACGGCTCAACATAGGAAATGTCAAATTACTTCCCCCTAAAGACAATGTGGAGAAGCTACTTCTGCGCACTAGTCGCGACGGCTGTCCTCGCGGCCATGAACCCGTTCCGCACAGGACAGCTCGTCATGTTTCAGGTCAAGTATGATCGGGACTGGCACTTCTTCGAGACCATCTTCTACATTATTATCGGCATCTTTGGCGGCCTGTACGGAGCTTTTGTTATCAAGTGGAACCTGCGCGCGCAAGCCTTTCGGAAGAAGTATCTCGCCAAATACCCCATTATGGAAGCGACGATTTTGGCTGTCGTGACGGCCATCATTTGTTATCCGAACATGTTTCTGCGTATAGACATGACAGAGAGCATGGCGATCCTGTTCCTTGAGTGTGAAGGCGACCATGACTACGATGAGCTATGCGAGTAAGTTTTTTCTCCTAACCTGTAGGTGTTCCGTTGCTGATGGTGATCAGACGACAGAACCGCTGGCGGATGATCATGTCCCTCGCTCTGGCCACTGTCATCCGGACCGGCCTTGTTATCGTCTCATACGGCTGCAAAGTGCCCGCAGGTATCTTCGTTCCGTCAATGGCCATCGGCGCTTCCTTTGGTAGAATGGTCGGCATCTTTGTCGAAGCTCTCCACGAATCCTTTCCCAGCTCGCAATTCTTCGCTGCATGTAAGCCAGACGTGCCGTGCATCACGCCTGGAACGTATGCATTCCTGGGAGCTGGTGCAGCTCTGAGTGGAATCATGCACATCACGGTATCCGTGGTGGTCATCATGTTTGAGCTCACTGGCGCGCTCACTTACATCCTGCCGACGATGATCGTGGTCGGAGTCACCAAGGCTGTTGGCGAACGTTTCGGTAAGGGAGGCATTGCAGATCGAGCCATCTGGTTCAATGGTTTTCCGTTCCTCGACAACAAGGAAGAGCACATCTTCGGCGTGCCTGTCTCGCAAGTAATGACGACTAACGTCACGAGCCTACCGTCCTCCGGTTTGGAACTCCGGGACGTGGAGAAGATCATGACCGAGAACATCTTCCAAGGCTACCCCATCGTCGAAGGCCGTCAGAGCAGAACATTAATAGGCTACATCGGCCGCACAGAGTTGCGCTACGCAATCGATCGCGCAAAGCGAGACCAAATGGTCCCGCAGAGCGCAAAGTGCTACTTCACGCCCCCAACTGTACGGCCTGCCACTACGCCCTCTGCCACCGTCCCCGCCGTAACCTTCGACACCATCGCCGCAACCTCCGCCCAGATGGCCGTCGACTTCAGCCGCTTCATTGACCCCACACCTCTCTCCGTCCACCCGCGCCTCCCGCTCGAGACGGTCATGGAGGTCTTCAAGAAGATGGGCCCGCGGGTCATATTGATCGAGTACCGCGGCAAGCTGACTGGTCTAGTGACAGTCAAGGACTGCCTTAAGTACCAGTTCAAGGTCGAAGCGCACGAGAACCCAAGGGATGAAGGCGCGGTGCAGGAGGCGCAGGAAAAGCTGTGGGGATGGATGAGCAGGGCGGGGGCACGGATTGCGGGCAAGGTCTTTGGCGTAAGTCGTGGAAGGCTTGAACTGGGCGATGGTAACGTTGGTAGGGGAGGGAGCAGCAGCTTGATGCCGCCGAGTAGTCCTGGGAGTCGGGATGGGAGGGGGCTTGAGGGGAGGAGTGCGGGTCCGGCGGTTGAGCTGGAGGATAGAGGGGGATAGAGGATTATAGAGCATAGTTATTACGCGGTTGAACAGTTGCATCCCTGGAAGATTCCACAGTTGTATCCCGAAACAGCGTAAATGTGCGCTCTCACCTGTCATTGTCTCGGGCACCGATAATGCTTTCAGGTGGTGTTGACGGCTGCTGTAAAAGCCCCTGCTCACACCAGGACGCGCCAAGCTACGTCACCTGCTCCGAGCTCTCAGCTCCAGGTCCAGCTTCCTGGACACGGCTTGATATTTTTGAACTCATCCTCATTCTCTACTCTATCAAGGCTATAGGGAAGGGCCGATGTTTCCCTAACTCGCTCCGTAGTCCCTCCGCCCGCAATTGTATACTCTGCCTGCCATTGTCACACTACAGCCGGACCCTTATCATGCTTCCAAGGAGCATCGCCGCACGCAGCACGCGTTTCTCCTCAGCCCCTCAGCTACAACGCCTCTCAACGCGGTGCCCTCGAACCCATAGCTTACTGCTACCGAGCCGGATATACCACAGCAGAAGCTCATTCATCGCCGGAGCAAAGACACATAAAGCTGCAAGATGGCGCCTACCCCAACCTGCTACGAAACGATCCCTCACCACCAAACCGTTGCCTAGCACACAGTCCCGGTTCGTCAGGTTCTGTTACCGAAGCGCTGCATACTGCGGAAGCGTTGTCCTCATTACCGGCGCTGTTATTACGGCGTTCTTCATCTACGATGCCACCACGTACAAGAACGATCCCTCCAACGAAGAAATCACCGTTTCTGAGTTGGCCTTGCATCCCCGAAGAGGAGGACCGAAGAATCTGCCGATAGCTTCGGTTCTCGTGGACGACGACGACCAGGAGGGAAGAGAGATGCAGACGCAGAAGTATAAGCCGAAACTGGTTATCCTCGGTACAGGATGGGGAAGTGTCGCACTGTTGAAGGGGCTCAACCCGGATGACTACCATATAACCGTTGTCTCGCCATCCAACTACTTCCTCTTCACGCCAATGCTACCTTCAGCGACCGTTGGCACATTAGAACTGAGATCGTTGGTCGAACCTGTCCGGCGCATAATCACGAGAGTAAAAGGTCACTTCTTGAAAGCTCAAGCAGAGGACGTGGACTTTTCGGAGAAACTGGTCGAGGTATCCGCGCTGGGACCCAATGGCGAGAAGCAACATTTCTATCTGCCCTATGACAAGCTTGTCATCGGTGTTGGTGAGCAGATCCTCAAGGATCTCGAAATGAGCACCTGCTGATAGTAACAGGTTCCATCACGAATCCGCATGGCGTCCAAGGTCTCGAGAACTGCCACTTCCTCAAGGATGTGAGTGATGCACGGAAAATACGAAACACCGTCATTCGCAACCTGGAAGCCGCTTGTCTGCCCACAACTTCGGACGAGGAACGTAAAAGACTATTGTCATTCGTCATCAGCGGCGGCGGCCCAACTGGTGTCGAATTTGCTGCCGAGCTCTTCGACATGTTGAATGAGGACCTCTGCAATTACTTTCCAAAGATTCTGCGATCAGAAATATCGGTCCACGTCATACAGAGTAGGGGACACATTCTAAACACCTACGACGAAGCCTTGTCGAGATACGCTGAAGCACGGTTCGCTCACGACCACGTCGACGTACTCACGAACTCCAGGGTCAAGGAGGTCCAGCCCGATAAGATCTTGTTTACCCAGAAGGATGAAGAAACCGGCAAGATTGTAACCAAAGAGCTGCCGATGGGTTTCTGCCTATGGTCCACGGGCGTCTCGCAGACCGAGTTTTGCCAAAAGCTTGCCAAGAAATTAGACGGCCAAAACAATAAACACGCTCTTGAGACTGACTCCCATCTCCGGCTGATCGGCGCGCCTCTAGGCGACGTGTATGCGATAGGCGACTGCAGTACTGTCCAGAACAACGTATCCGACCACATCCTCACGTTTCTGCGCACGCTCGCCTGGGAAAAGGGCAAAGATCCCCAGCAGATGGAGATCTCGTACAAAGACTGGCGCAGCGTCGCCAAGCGCGTCAAGCAGCGCTTTCCCCAAGCTTCGGACCACCTGCGCCGCCTAGACAGGCTGTTCGAGCAGTACGACAAGGACAAGAGCGGCAAGCTCGATTTTGGCGAGCTGCACGAGCTGCTCCACCAGATCGACTCGAAACTAACCTCTCTCCCGGCGACGGCGCAGAGAGCGCATCAGCAGGGTCAGTATCTTGCTCGTAAGCTGAACAAGATCGCACATGCAGCGCCAGGAATGCGGTTGAACGAGATGGATTACGGTGATCTTGATGAGGCGGTGTACAAGGCATTCGAGTACAAGCATCTCGGCAGCTTGGCATACATCGGAAATGCGGCGGTGTTTGATATCAACGGACTGAACTTTTCGGGTGGATTGCTGGCGGTGTACCTATGGAGATCGGTCTACTTTGCGCAGAGCGTCAGCTTCAGGACACGGGTTCTGATGGCTATGGATTGGACTAAGCGGGCACTTTTTGGGAGAGGTGAGTACACTACCTGCGTGTATAGGAGCAACATACTGACGGCGCCTCACAGACATGATGAATTACTAGACAAGACACAGCAGCCGTGACTGCTTTCCCTTCAGGCATTATCTCTAACCACTACCTTCCGTATCCCTGGCGAGCGACAGCGACGCACGCACTAAAACGCTGTACAGTATTCTACCAATAGCTTCAAAGCGATACCCATACAAGGCATCTCGTAACGCCCTTGCTTGATGCTACGCTATCAAACACAAAAACAAGCACAATGCTTTGCCTATACCTCCTGCCCCTGCAGCACAACCACTCAAGCTCTCTTCGACTTACCCTTCACTTTGTCCACTAACCTCTTCAGATCGTCGCCCTCGGCTCGATCCACCCCATCCATCTTACCATTCTTGACTTTCTTGCTAGCCCTATCCTCGGCATCTACACCCTCGTTCCTCGCGCCCTTCCTCTTCTTCCTCCCCTCCTCAAGCAAAGCTTTCATGCCCTCCGTCTGCTTGAACTTCGGGTTTGTCGGATCGATCGCAAACTCGTGACTCTCAAACAACCTCGCAAAGCGCGGATCCTGTGTGTTCAGCCTGAAGCCTTCAGTCCCGGCTCCGTCTTGCGTCTCAGCATCACCGCCAACGGCATCAGAGCCAGCTTTCGTTTTCTTTCCCTTCTTGCCCCTGCGCTTCTTCTTCTCCTTCTCCGCCTTCGCGATCTCGTTCATGTCGAAATGCCGCATTCTCTCGTCGTCTGCAAGAAGAAGCTCGAGATCCGCACGCTGCTTGACCGACGCGGCGGCCTCTGCGTCCCGCTGCTCGCGCTTGCGGGCCTTGTCCGCTTTTCGCGCGTCTCTGGCCGCTTTGCGGGATGTCTCGGCCGGGTCGTCGAAGAAGGGGTCCGCGAACGGGTCTGCGTTGTCATCGTCCTGCGCAACCTTGCCTTCTGCGTTCGAAGCAGCTGGGCCGTCCCTTACATCACCGTCTTTGCCAGCTTTCGCGCGCTCTTTCCGCCGTGCTTTCCGTTCTTTCTCTTTGCGGATGTAGGCCTCGACGGTGGTTTCATCTCTAATGGGCTCGTTCTCGAAGACAGAGGCTTTCTGGGCGTTGGTGGAGAGGCCGGATGAGAATGTTATCTGCATGTCGCCTACGGGTGCGCTCTCCTTTGTCTTCTTGGTCTTTTTCGGCTCGGTGCCTGAGAGGCCGAGTAAGGCGCGTAGAGCGGCCGCTTTGTCTTTCTTGCCTTTTGGTGCTGCGGAGGGGACGGCAGCTGCGTTCTCGTCTTCCTCATCGTCGTTCATGTCTTCCTCGTCCGAGCTGTCGCTCCCGACGTACGCTTTGAGATCGTTCTCATCGATCTCGGCTCTGGAGAACGCCCTCTTCTGCACTTCCTTCCTGTTGTTGTCATCCGCGTCCCACGTCAGCTTCACCTTGCTGTGCGTGAGTGCGTCTGTTACAAATTCCTTCGGCCTATAACCGTCTGGGACTCTGTCGCAACGATCCCTCGGTTTGTCGTCCTCGAAAGAGACGCCATCAGGTATGAAGCGCAAGTCAAAGAAGTTCGCTGAGGATAGGTATTCCCGGCCGTCCATAGCATCATATAGCGCTCTCGCGGTCGTCGCAGAGGAGCACGTCAACACGGCATAGTAGTATCTTAATCGCTCAAGCTGGTACGCGCGAAGTGCAGGCGCATTGAATTCCTCGCCCGTGTCTTCCGCCAGCAAGTCCTTCTTGATGCGCTCATCCTCCGACTCGTCCTCCTCCTCACCGTCTTCATCATCATGCCTAGATCCCCTCTTGGTAGCCGCCGCAAATATCTCCCTCGGTGGCCCCTCCAACTGCTCCCGCTCTATCCTCTCCCTTCCAAACTCACTCGGATACACCTCAACGCCCAGAATCCGCCCGCCAGCTGGCGCAAAGCTTGACGCGACAGCCATGATATCCACAGCGTCAATATTGTCCCAGTCAAGATTTACAACCGCAAGGCGCGAGGAAGGTTCGCCCATCGGCACATCCGCCGCCGTGCCTTCCGCAAGCTCGGCTTCGTCCTCCACATCGACGTCTTCTTCATCTTCTTCGTCTGGGGAATCCTCGCTACTCGAGTCGTCGGAGGAAGAGGAAAAGCCGCCCTCGCGCGCGGGGTCGTAGGACCGGTCTGCGCGTCGGAGCTCTTTGCGGATCCTATCGTCATCATCGTTCTCCCCGTCCTCTGTTCCCTTCGTCTCTTCCTCATCGTTCTCATCCTCGTTCTCGTCTTCGTCGGCTTCAACCCGATAAAACCGCTCCAGGTCTCTCCTACCTGCGCCCTTCTCGATCCTTCTGCCGTACCGGTCGACGCTGGCTTTCTGGGAGAAGTCGTCATCGCGCAGCATGTGCGCGAAGCGCTGGTCGAGCTTGACATGGGTGTGGCGTTTGGAGGGGAGGCGGTAGCGGGGGTCGGTGTGGATGTTTGAGAAGCGTGGGTCGGCTGGACGGCGGGTTAGTCTATGGTGAACACGTAGAGAGGTCAGGGAGACAGGGTGTTTTTACTGATTGTAGAGCTGCTTTTGGGGGCGCCGCGGCCCTTTGAGGCTTTTTGCTTGGGAGGCGGCGCCATTGTGTCTGCTTGCACTGTAGTCCTTGAGGATGTGACTGGTTTTGAAGAGCACTAGCACGCGGAAAGGCGAAATATGGCTTAAGGAGGGAAGAGTAGTACGTGGATACAGGAGGGTTGTGATATCAGTCGCACTTCGAAGGACCTGCTTCGGTGGGCGGTCGAATATTTTCTGCCACAAGCGCCAAGACTTGCAGAGCTTTATCGATAGCGGCTGACCCCGGATTTTCGGAGGAAACGTGCCAGTGCGGAGACAGGCCCGCCCGCTCCGCTCCTGCTCGCGTGCTGCCAACTCTACTCTACCCAGCACTCTTCCGCTTCCTCTACAGCTCCAGTGCTACTCCCAACTACTGGCACCTACATACGATCAGCCCGAGCTCTGCGACCGAGGTCTACCTATAACACCACACAATGGCATTCAATCACTACCTCAAGTACGTCTGCCCTTGGCCCCTCGATCCCCTCTCAGCTACTCTCACCGCCTGGAACTCTGTTTTGGTACGACAAGAAGCTAATGGCACTCTTCCTACAACTAGCCGTCGCAATGTCACCATCTTCTCCGTCTTCGCTCTCGCCGGCTCGTACTTTATGCTGAAGTCGCGGACAATGCAGTCGAAGCGGCGACAGCAGCTCGAGGGGAACTACAATGTTGAGCCGACGCGGTCTGGTAAGTTACCCCGCCCCTTGTCTTCCCCTACCTCGTGCTGTAGGGGCATTTGGGATCTGGTAGCTGACATACGTCACCTGTATGTAGGTGGAGGAGTCTAGACGGTGGGAAACTGAAGCGACATAAAGAGGTACCAGACGATTAATGCGGCAGACGAACGTCCGGCTCGAGGTTCCAGACTTTGCAACGGCACTACAGCTACTGGCGATGCGGGATTGTAAATACGCGGTGTCTATTCCGATTGTTATCACGACTGGAGACTAGGCGTTCGTGGTGCTCTGGTAGTTCGACTGAGAGGAATGAGACATTGCTCGCTGTTGAGCTTATAGCAAACTTGAGATGAGCTGTGTGCTTCCCCCAGACATCCCGCGGTTAACTTCTACCGCGTGGCCCGAAACCCTTAAAGTATCTTGTATCTACATGAGCAATGTAGAGTACTTTCCCTGCAGCTGAATTGTCAGCAAACGCCATTCCCCGCAGGGAGCTCTCCCTCGGCCCACCTATGCCAACATCAAGCTCCCTAAAGCGATCCCTCTTCACATATACTACTCTTCCCTTCTGACATGTAGCTACAATCCGCCTCAACCGGCACGTCCTGTATCGAATCTCGCACAATGCCCCTCTACCTCATCACGCTCTGCCACCCCTACCTCCTCACCACCTCCCAGCGCCGCTCTCTCGCCCAATCCATAACGCGCATACACTCCACCCTCTTCAGCGCGCCCTCCCTCTTCGTGAACGTCCGCTTCATGAACGCGGATGCAGCTTCCAGCAGCGAGGCGACAGCCTTCGTCGGCGGCAAAGAGTCCCCCACAAATTCCATCGCCGCCCACGTGCGGCACGGCCCTAGCCGGCCCCGATCCAAATACGACGAGCTCTGCGCGCAGATACACTCGGCATGGGACGAGATTGTCGTCGACGTGCAGGGCAAGGCGGCGTCAGAGGAACACAAACTGCATACGATCTTCGTCATGGGGGATATTGTTGCGGCGTGGGAGCAGGGGTTCAACATCCCCGAGGCGGGCGGGGATGCGGCCTGGATAAAGGAGAATATGAGGGAGTTTGAACGGAGGGCGGGGCAGGGGGATGGGGCTATGAGGGATCTAGTGGAGGAAGTGAGGGCGAGGGGTGGGGAGTGGGGGATTGAATGAGTCTGGTATGGAAGGACTCTAGGATCGAGTGAGGCTGCTGTTTAGTGGTTGGAGGATCGTGAACTGCGTTCAGAATGGATGGAAAAGTCAATCGAAACTCTTGGTTGTTGTCGCCCTATGGAGTATATAGTATGCAGCAGCAGTCGGCTGTAGTGTCTAGTGTACGGCAGTAATGCACCATATCGCCTGCGTGAAGTCTTTCCATAGTCTCCGAGTAAATACTCTCCAGCCTAATGCTTCTGGTGGTGCGGCTTGATCGGCTAGACGGAGGTCAGGAATCATCACTCACTCTCGAATAGCTCAGAGCACTCACGCTTGGGTTCTTCACAGTATCCAGAGGTCCCGCCGGCTTGAGGAGTCCAATATCCGAAGCATCGGCCTTGACGTTGTACTTGCCGCCCATGAACTCGAAGAGGAAGTTGAGCGGGAAGCCGACGTCGAACGGTGCCGCGTTGTCAATCTCGTCGATCTCTTCTTCTGAAAGCTCGAGGCCTAGCGCTTCGATGTTGCCCTTGTGATGGTTAACGGACGAAATCCGGATGAGAAATGATTGTCTGGTTCCAATACCTTGAGATGATCGACCTTGCGGCCACCGATAATGGGGAAGACGTAGGGCGTCTTGTGCATGACGTATGCCAGGGCCTGCGGGACTGTATCAGCGACGTTCACTCCATCAAAGTCTACATGGCCTATGACTTACCACGCTCGTGATGATCGTGCCCTTCTCATTTGCAATCTTCTCCAGCGCCTTCGAGATCTGGATGTCCTTCTCGCTCGCCGGCCCCATATTCCGTCCCTCACCACTGTTCCGCTGCTCCTCAGTCTTGAATTTGCCGCCACCGAGCGCGCCCCACGGCGCCAACGCCATGCCCTCGGCGCGCGCCATCGGGAGGATATCGCGCTCGAAGTCGCGGTTGGCGGCGGACCAACGGCCCTGATAGACCGAGAACTGGCGCAGGCCGTGGTCGCGCGCGTACTGGTTGCACTTCGAGACGATCCAGGCGGGCGTGTCGGAGATGCCGAGGTAGAGGACTTTGCCGTTGACAACCAGTTGGTTGAGTGACTGCATGACTTCCTCGATGGAGGTTGTGAAGTCCCACCAGTGGAGGTAGAGCTGTGTGAGGTCTGTATCAATAATCTACTCGGAAAAGCAATGCTGGATTGGTGCAAGGGAGACATACCAGGTCGATGTATTCGGTCTGCAGCTTCTTTAAGCTGGCCTCGAGTGAGACGCGCAGGCTCTTGGTGTGGTTGCCCTGGAAGTTTGACTTGATCTTCTCGCCGCCCTTGCCGGACAGATACATGGTCGTGAACTTGGTCGCGATGAACATCTCCTCACGGTTGTTGCGCTCCTTCATCCAGTCACCAATCCATGTTTCACTCTCCTCGCCTTGGTAGTTGTTCGCGCTAGACTTAACGTCAGCAAGAATGATCCTGCGGCAACACGGGCTGCGTGTAGACCTGGTTCGACGTACGTGTCAATGAAGTTTCCACCGTTCTCGTAGAAGAAGTCGAGCATGGCGAAGGTGGTCTCCTTGTTGCACTCGCCCATGAATTCCTTCCTGTGTCTTGCTCAGCACGTGGCTTCTCAGAGCGGGTTTGCGCTGCGTAGGCTTACCAGGCGTCGCCGAAATTCATGGCTCCCAGACATAGTGGTGACACCCTAGCACCTGCGGTGGGCGCAAGGATGCGGTGATAGCCAAGCAGGCTCTTTGGTTCGGGAGCTGGTGCGAATGCCATTGTTTCGGATCGTGGTGATCTTTGAGCTTGATAGACAATGGGATGGATGTGGGTTCAAGGGAGGAGTTTACGAATGTCAAACCCGAGCAGAGCGATCTGACGGGCGTTCATATATAGGCTTGCGGATGCAGGGCCAGTTATGACGTGCGGTTCAAGCAATAATTGATTAGTAGTTAATGGAAAGTGTTGTCGATGCTGGAAAACAATGCGGTCATAAATGTTAACTCCGTAAACCCCGCAGGGTCCAGCCAAACCCCGGAGCTGTCCGCCCACTAGCGCTGCGCTAAAGCCGCACAACAGGCCCTATCTCCGCCTGTCAAAAGCGGCTCACAGCAGAGCGTAACTTACACCAGGTCAAGTAAGCAACTCCCTACCGTATGTGATAGGCTGACTGTGCATGTGCAGCTTTATTCATGGGGAGAGGAGATGAAGGATCTGGAGGCTGAACACTAGCAGAGCATCTTAACTCCTATTACCCTTAACGCCAGCCCCAACCATCTATTATTACCACCCATTCTACTCTTGATCTTCAGCCTCCTCAACCTTGAATGTTGGGACTAATTATTCTTCCCGCTTCCTGATGTTTGGCAAGCCAAACCAACAGGCCAGCATGACTACAAAGAACGCAATCGCCACAGGGTGCAGAACGTAAGTGCCGACTGCTTGCGCTAAGAGACCCGTCGTAAAGGGTACGACTGCTCCACCCGAGCTACCAGCCGAGGAAATGAATCCAATCGAAGTTGTCTGTATGTTGTGTGGAAGTAGCCTCACGAATATCGTTTGCCCGCAAGGGTAGACAGGCCCCAGCAGTAGACCGACGACAGAAACCGCTACAGCATTGCCGATGACATTGGGGACGAGCCATACAAGTAACTGAAACGCGATTGCGCCGAGTCCGAGACCGTACACGAAGCGCTTCTCGCCGACGGTGTGAGCTACGTGGGTGAGCAAGAAGCGGCCGAGAGTGATGCCACCCTGAGAGTTCTGTCAGCTACTGCACGGGCTATGACCTCGTAATGATTTTACCCAAAAGCCTGCCGTGACAAATCCCACTTGTGCCGGGTCGCCATCGCGATAGTCAATGAGGAAGGAAATAACCCAGCCTGAAATGGCGACCTCCGCACCCTGATACGCAAAGATAAGCAAGGCTCCCATAACGGTTACCCTGTTTTTCAAAGCTCGTTTTAACAGCTGCTTTTTCGTTGGTGCACCGTCTTCAATAGCTGCACGCTGACTTGCAGTTCTTTCGAGAGCTGTCAGCAGCTGCGTTGACGCCTCGTTCTCGTAGTTCCAGAAAGCCCAGCCGGTCATCACGAGGGAGATCACCCGGATGCCTAGGGCGACAAGGTAGAATCGAGTCCATGGCATGCCTGCTGAAATCATAGCGGTCGCCATGATCGGACCAACAATACCTGGACATTACGTGCGTCAGCAGAGGCTCTATTTATGCGGTACAAATGCATTGTGGCAAGTGCTTACCGCCAATACCATAGCAGCCGTGACCGACTCCCAGAAGGACCGTCGCCCCAGCCAGATTAGCGAGGAAGACATTGTTCAGCGCCAGAGTTGTCGCTGCACCGTACCCATTCAAGAAGAACGCGATGGCGACCACCGCATAAGGTGGTGTGCAGGCAATCATCACGAATCCAATGATGATGAGCATTTCCGCTGTGATGAAGGTTCTCGCTCGCCCGATGCGGCCATCGAGCGCATCGATGAATGGCGCTGCTAGAATAAAGCCTGCTGCCGTAGTTACGAAGATAAGGGACACGATAGCGTGTCCGATGTGGTATTCCTTCTCCATGTACGGGATGATAGCACCGGTTGCTGCTGCATGTCAGCACTCACGTACATTGCGTCGGGCTCGCGATCCGAGATTGCCGCCTGTAAAGGGCGCCGAAGCGGCTGCGGAGGGACCAGCGGACATGCAGTTGTCGGCGCACAGCGGCTGGGAGCTAATCGTGCAGTAACAGATCGCACGACGGTGTCAGCTGCGAGAGAAGGAATATCCTTGATCATGGTAGCGCTCGTGATTATCAACACCTCGAGGTGGTCCTTGGTCAGGATCCGTGGCTGCTTGACGCATGTTGAAACAGGCCGGAAGCGCCTGCATCAGGATTCGACCGCTCAGTCACTCACCTGCATCATTCAACCCGTTGCCAAAGTAGACGAGGCAAGCTGCAAGCACTCTCCATTTATTCATTGCCGGGTTAGAAAAGCTTTGCACGAGGCCAGCAGCTTCGGCCCGCTTGGGTGTCGGCGGATGGCTCATTTCCAACTCATTGGGGGGGATAGGTGTCTGCGTTCCGGCGTTCGATGGGCCGTTGTAGCGGCTACCCCAGGTATACTCATCGAGCTCGATGACTGACGGAGCTGGTGGCTGCGTGCTTGTCGACTGGAGCGCTCGCGGTGGATGAACGACCACCTTCGCTCCTTGCTCGATCTTGAAGAGGGTGCCGAGCCCACGAGCAGCCATTCTCGCTTTTTTGGAGGAGCCGTAATCGGAGCGCTGGCGTTCTAGATGACCCTTCAGCAGTCTGATGGATTTTGCACGAACCGACTTAGATGTTCTGAGGCAACATTGGGCTATAGTCGCATTGCCTTACCGCTGGTGACTCCCCGTCGAAGGACTACTCAGTCCTTAGTGCAGCAAAGGTACTAAATGAACACTACGATAAAGCAATATAAAGTCCTTGGGTAGGATGACAGCATTGATTAGAAATCGAGAGAAAGAGAAAAACCTCAGCTCGTGACAAGAGGGCGAGAGGACAAGTACACGATCCCCACGCTCTTACCGCTACAGCGAAAGTTATCGTGTACGGACCCACTATGATGTATGCGAGACCTGTAGTAACTCTGTTACAAGAACCCAGTGTCACAGCTGCTGAGCGACAGCAAGAGTGTTGATGGTAACTTATTAATACGCTATCGCCTGCTTGACACCACAAGAGTGAGTCACGGCCCACACGGTGACATGGCATCGCCTGAGATCCATCAAAGGACGATCCGCTGGCGTAAAAGGAAGCGTATCAGCCGCGATGGAGATTTCTAAGCCAACCACAAGCGGCTACCTCTCCGAACTTGCCAAAGCGCATACTCGGCCAACCTTCCTAGCGTATAATATTCAGTAGAAATCGTTCCACCACGGACCGAGTGCGTAACTTAGGTGCCTCCACTGGCAATCGCTGACCAGGAAACCATTAACATTCCACAAGCTCTTATAACAACGCAGCATGGCCAGGCCAAAGCGCAACCTCCTCGCAACAGCGGAGGAGACATCAACACCGCCAGCCACGCTCGCAGAAGGTCAAACACTAGCTCGAGTCACCAAGGCCACTGGCAACAACCTTTACTCCGTCGAGCTTCCCTCAGGACAGCCGGTGCTCGTCGAACTGCCCGCGCGCTTCCGCTCGACCATCTGGATCAAGCGTGGCAGCTACGTGCTCGTCGATACCGGCGCACTCGCAGACCGAGAGAACAAGCTGGATGGAGAGATCATCAACATTGTGAGGGACGAGAAGGAGTGGAGGAAGCAGAGCTACTGGCCGGCGCAGTTCGCCAAGAAATCTGCATACGAGGACGACAGCGAGGACGAGTCTACTGTCGGCAAGATGCCGCCTTCGGACTCGGACGAGGAGTCCTGAGGGTCTATCTGAGTTGTAAAGCTACACTGACAGCTACTCAACATGCTGATGCTGTGGCCGGCCATCTCGACTATCAACAAAATCCTCTCTCGTACCCCACCAAACGCCCGCTACTTGGACTGCCAGTATTGAAACAACAGTCATCGAGCTCGCAGGCGTGCTCGGGTACACGTTCCATGCCCACTCTTGCGCGGCCCATAACGCGTACTGGAGGACAGGATGGAACCCAGCACGCCATAGAAGGAAAGGAGTGGCCCATGCTAGCCATGAATAGAATTGGTAGTGGAGAGACCTTGCGCAGAGCATTCCGATGGCATTGGCGCTGAGGATAGTCGTGAGGATGACCTGCGGTGTAACCCTTCTAGAGATAAGGTCCTGGTCGCGCGGTTCCCTCAGCATTGTCCGCATGAAGTCGGGCAACGAGCGCTTCGAGGGCTTCTTCCATCTCGTAGATAGGAAGAGCGCTAGCAGGCACGCATGTGCGAGCAGTAGTGACAGCGCGAACCTCTTCGAGAGAAACGTCTCTTCGCTGACAAATCTCCAATTGACTGTCCATTTGTAAAGAAACTGTCTTGTAAATTCGAATGCACGAGAGAAGTAGCTTCTTGCGTTAACCGCCAGGAATGGATATCCGATGAGCACCTGCGCCGTCAGTAACGCCCACACAAGCTTTAGACAAAAGCACCTACCTGCAGCTGCCCTATAATCATCGCTTGTGTGATAGCTCGATCCTTCCCAATGCCTTGGAGCAAGATCATACCAATCGCTGGTAATACCAGCAGCAAGCTCATCTTGACACCCAGTCCTAAAGAGTAGACAACCGAGCCCGCGGTCCACATTCGCTTTTGATATGCATAGGTAGCCACGAACAGTGCCAGCACGGCGAAGCAATCGTTAAAGCATCGCAACAGGTAGATGCTGTGCAATCTCTTCGACGATACCAGAAGCGGAAAGACGTAAGGCGGAACTTGCGCAAGTCTATAGCAGGCCATGACCACGGCCAAGTTGACAAGGTAGACGCCGCCGAAAACAAACTGTGCAAGGCGAATATTGCTTCCATGATCTGTCAGGTGATACAGAATTCTGTATATGTAAACGTGGGCGCCAGGGTAGACCAGCGGCCCCGTGCCTCCCCTAATTTTGATGTAGTCTCGTTCTCCGTGGATGAATTGCTTGACTTGCTCCATGTACGCTTTCCAGTCGATCTCAGTGTCTAGACTATGATTAATGTAGTTCGGGCAGGTTCATCAGCGCCGGGAATGACTGACATGGGATCTTCCAGATTATGAGCCCGCAGAGGGCAGCGTCGGCAAGCAGTAACAGTGGGCAGATCCATCGCGTATGTTTGGGATTACGTGTAATGTCCAGGCATTGAACAATGAGGTTCATTTTGGGCGTAGATGGGATAGACACAAGGAGGATGTCTCATACCTGGCGGATGTTATAGACAGCCCCTTGATCACGTGCGGTCCCACCAGGCCGAAACTATCACATATGCCCCCCGAAATCGTTGACGGAGAGATTCTACATAGTCGCGATTCACACTGACCGCCTGTTACATTGCACACGCCTTCCAGCAAAGCCCTTATAAACGCTAACCAACGCCAGTCAGGCGGAAAACTGCAACAACCTGGAAAGCCTTCTTGAATAACACCATGATCCTGATGCAATCTCGTAACCCTCCCGCTGTTCATTAAACAGCAACGTAGCATATTCCAATGGTTGAACTCTTCCTAGGGAGGTTTGAGGGTGAACCGCTGCGGAAAGCATTGCAAGCGATCCACGGTACTGATCTGGTACAGTCGAGTATTTCTTGGACATGGCGGACGTTGTGATGAGATATCAAACGCTACCAGACTAGTAGCATCACTTCAAGGAAAACACTCTGATCTTCTCAGGCATACCGTCTCCCAGGACGATATCCTCTAGGATCGCTCTCGTTTTCTCCCACGGCACTTTGAACAAGCCAGAGTTTATCTGACACATCCTGACTTCGCTGATTTCGGAGGACTTCTGTGTCTCAGCAACCTGGCTGAGTAGATCGATCATAGCTGGGCCCGTGTGTTTTAAGATCGCTGCCGGGGAGTCTTTCTTGCGGCCATATTGGCAGCTAGTAAAGAGGCAGCCCACAAAGTGACGCCGCCTCTTGGTGTTGGATTCGGCCGGAGGGATGAGCTGTGCGGTGCCTAACAGATCGCGCTTGTTGACAAATCGATCGCAATGTGCTTCATGAGATTTGAGGGCTGCTGGGTAACGCTCCCTGAACGCTGCTGCAATACCGGCTCCCCCTTGGTGCCCCTGTCAGCTTTGCGAGAGCCATTAGATTATTCGGCGTGAACTTACAATGACCGAGGCAGTTGCATGCGTGGATGATCACTGCGTTGTCTGGCGCATCGAAGATATCGCCGACTTCTTCCGTAATTATGAGCTTCTTTGGACTCTTCGGGTCGCTCTTGCTTTGTTGTTCATTTGGCATTGCCGTCGTAGCGGTCACTGGGTCGTCTTTGGTAGAAGTAGTGCCATCAACGCGCGCTGTTTTGGAAGGATTCGCGCTTTTCGAGTCCTCTTCATCACCTTCTGTGACGGCTTTTCGTTTTGCGCGTCGTGGCATGTCGATAGTCCTCGTGCGGTGTTGTGACTTCGAAGATTAGATTGAAGTAATGCTCAGATTGACATCACAAAGCAAGGGATTGTCATACTGCAAAGATGATTGAACGAACGGAAAGCTGAAGAGAACGATTGATCCCTTATATGACTTACTTTGACTAGGCAACTGCGCTGTCGTGACTCTCAGAGAGCTGAGCTGAGTGCTGCCAAAAACCCATGCTACACGGAAACTCCCGATTGGCCGCTTCTCCCCGAAAGCCATCCTCGACCTCATTCCCTGTCCTCCCGCAAAAGCACCACACCAGCCGTCACACCTCTCATCCACCTCTCCACCGCCCTCGCGCAGCTCAATCCTCCTCCACAATGCCGGCACTGACCTCCACCGCCAGCACGCTGGTGCGGACATGCGCCCGCCAGCAATTGCCCGCCGTGCGCGCCAGCGCCGCCGCCATGCAGAAACGGTCCGTCACCGAGGTGTCCAACACTTCATCGTTTGACAGCCCCTTCAAGGGCGGCACCGGCGCTAGCACGACCAAGATTCCCAATTTTGGCCAGTACAGGAACCGGGGGGGCGAGACGAGCAATAAGGTCTTTCAGTACTTCATGGTTGGGTCGCTTGGTGCTCTGTCTGCGCTGGGCGCGAAGGCGACTGTGCAAGGTGGGTTGGCCTTTGGGGGAGGATAAACTTGGCTCTTTACCGATTGGAAGGACAGAGGATTACATGTGGGGATGATGGTGACGTAAATGCTGATGCGAGCTCTGTGCAGATTTCTTGGTGAACATGTCCGCATCTGCCGATGTTTTGGCCCAGGCGAAGGTTGAGATCGACCTAGCCTCCATCCCAGAGGGCAAGAATGTAAGGCAGCTGTGGGTATAGCTTCGTGGGCGTTGCTGATCATGCACCAGGTCATCATCAAATGGCGAGGCAAGCCCGTATTTATCCGTCACCGTACCGCGGACGAGATCAAGGAGGCCGAGAACACAAAGTGGGAGGCTCTGCGAGACCCCCAGCCCGATTCGGATCGTGTCCAGAAGCCTGAGTGGTTGATAATGCTGGGTAAGTTCGGGAGGAACGTAAAGCCCTTTGCCGGCTCAGGACGCTGACAATTTCAATCTACAGGTGTCTGCACACATCTTGGATGCGTCCCAATCGGCGAGGCGGGTGATTTCGGCGGTTGGTTCTGCCCATGCCACGGTTCTCACTACGACGTCTCTGGCCGTGTCCGAAAGGGGCCTGCCCCGTTGAACCTGGAGGTCCCGGAATACAGCTTCCCGGAGGAGGAGAAGGTCATCATTGGATAAAGAAACGTGCATAGCCTGCCAAGATCAGATGAAAGAGGTATTGAGCTCACTTTTGCAAGTAGTCAAGCCCTTGCAAGTGACCCATAGAAGGGGGAAGATGGTGCTGCTGCATTTGTACAGTTACTTTAGTCTAGCGTGCTGCCAATGTACAGAACGATGTTTCATCGGACCTTCCGTTGCCAATCGACGTCTCAGAGCATGTGGATTTCTAATATCATTGGAGGCGCCCGATCCGTGTGTATGGGGCCTCGCGAGCGGATCAACAGTCGACCATTACCCACTTTGCTCCTGCAACAAGCCAGTGGTTGGCTGATCAGATTCGACCAGCAAGGCACAGTATATTTAAGGTTATGTTGGCACACCTTGCAGCAATGGTAGAGAAGCTGCTGGAGGGAAAATCAAGCCGCGCCGGTGGTCGAACGCTTAAGAACTTTCTGGCGCGTACACCGGTTTGTAGCTTTTGTTAAACCACTGCCTTAAGCCTCAAAGGTTCCGCATTGGACTTCGTATGGCATTGTAAATGGTGCCTGAGGAACAGAATGTGGCCGCTGCCATGACCAGCATCGTCGAGCATATCACGATTACCTGAAACATCTTAACATGTCTCTTTATATTATTTACTGACTTCCAGTAAGAATATACGACCCCGTTGCAAAACGGCGAAGAGTTATACGTGTTGTAATACTTCGCCGCTGGAAGTCTCTCTCAGCGATGTCTATGGCCAACTACAGGGCTCGATAACCATCGGCTTGATACCTCCAAAGACACAAGGGGCCGCTGAGCAGAACCCATTTTCGTTCAAGGTCGGAGAAGCCAAATACGGAGACACCACAAGACGGAATACCCTCGAGTGTGCTGGGGAGCTCTCGATATGAAGCTTTACCGGTCCAAGGTTTTATCCATATATTGAGAAACTATAGATGATGGAACCGTCAAGCGGCCAGAAGCATTATCAGCAGCGGAGAAACTGTGCGAGCTAAAAACTCTTTGTGCGCGAAAGAAACCACCCTACTGCGAGGCTATACATGCTGGAGGCTCTTAGTGGTCTGGGTCTTGAGTGGGTCGAGAGCCACTTGCTCATTTCCGGCCCGTATTACAGAAGGACAGCAAATCTGGAATGCTGACAGCGGAGTTTCAGGGAGCGGTTCGGTGGTGGTGTTCCTGCATGCGTTTCAAGTGACGGCCCCGCCAGTTCGGAAACGGCAGGGATCACAGTGACGCGCATGCCAAGACGTGGTCGTAGCTCCTAACGTCAACCGGACTTTCTTTCGAATTTCCTGTCGCTCTCCCCCCCACATCCACAACAAACAACACATCCAACCCGTAAGTGCCGCATCCGTCCATGTGAAGAGCGCAGCGTGCGCGCGTGATGGCAGGACGCGCCTGGATCTATCTGGAACAACTCGCTAACGCCTTCCTCGTCGTGCAGTTGCAAGATGCCGACGCAGCAACCATCCCCCGCAACCCGCGTTGCTCCGCGCGCTGAGGTGAGTCGCGACCGTCACCGACCGCACAAAGACAATTTGAGATGGAGCACTAAGCTGAACGCTAGGCGCAACGTCTCGGCAAGAGAAAGCGCGCTCCGGCGCAACAGCAGCAAGCTCCCGCCGCCGAAGGCACGGCATTTCAACACGCCTTCACCACCACCCTCGGGCTCTTCAACAGAGTTTGGACAAGCTTTGTGAGGATCCTCCCGCAAAGACTCCGCGGTGCGGACTCTGCGCAAGAGGAGATCCATGCCCAAAGGGTGGCTGGCGGCCACAAGCGCCGCGCGGTTGGCAGGCTACACGATCCCTCCTCTCCATCCGCCGCAAGAAACCAGGACGATCCTGGATATCATTCGCGCCCGTGTTCTGCTTCTCCCGCCGCCGAGGCCGTGGTGCCTAAGGCTCCATCCGCCGCGCCCGCCTCCTTCTCCCGGTCGCTCCTCAAGCGACCAGCACCATCCTCCGCCTCCGACCATTCCGCCGTTCAGCGCGGCGCCAAGCGCGCAAAGGCTTCTTCGAGCCATGCTCTGGCTCATCTGTATGCCGCCGCCGTCGCCCCGAAGAAGTTCATAAAGACGAAGAAGAGCGGCGCTATCCCTCACAGCCCCGATAGGTTGAGGGTCAGAAGAGCGGCGCGGCTAGATGAGCTGCTGCATTGGGAAGATCAAAAGGTCGAGGATGCAGATCCGAAGTTTAGCCACAAGCGCGCCCACCTGCAGGAAATCCGCAACCTGCCACAATTCCCGGGCTCTCTGTGGCACGCCTCACAAGACGAAGAACACCTCCATCGGCCATGGAACGACATGAAAGCAGCGCACGCTTCAGAGAATGCGCCTCGCGAGCAGCCAACCATCCAATCCCTCCCAAACTACATCGAAATCTCACATCTCTACAACGAACTGTTTCCGACAGGCGACGTCCAAGAGATCGCAGTCACAGCACACGGAGGCGGGGATGGAATCACTACAAGCGCGGCCGTTGCTCATGATGAGAGGGAGGAGATGGCTATTACAGATGAGGATCAGCTAGAAGCGGTTGAAGCAGTCAATGAAGAACTCTCCATACTCGCGGATGCTCCACCGCCGAAGCAGAAGAAGACTGTAAAGTGGACCACAAGTGGATTCGTTCCTCACGTCATGCCGGTCAACCAGCGGAAATACTACACTCCTGGCGACGCTCCCAATGAGATGCGCAAGAACGTCGAAGATCTCTCCCCCAACAAGGCGCATCCTCGATCTCCACCTCCCGCCGACATCAGCGAGTTCGATATCACCCTAATGGACACGCCTGTGAAATTTTCGGATGCAAAGGACAAATCACCCCTGCAGCGTGGCACGGCTCCCGCAACCCCCGGCACACAAGTCGAAGTCGAGAGGACGCTGCAGAAACTAGAGAACTTCCACGTCTCAAAGCCACGCGGATCTGTAGAGCTACCTGCGAGAGGGCGCGCACAAGAGCTCGAGGTTTCTGCAAGCGCAAAGAAGAAGCAGGAGCAGAGGAGGCTGGAAGATGAGAAGCTTCGGCGCGTAGAGGAAGCTGCCGCAGCTGAGAAGGCTAGAAGGAAAGCTGAGAAGGCTAGAGAGATTGCTGAGAAGGCTCGAAGAGAGGCCGAGAAGAAGGCCGAGCTCCTTCGCAAAGAGAAAGAGGTAGAAGAAGAAAAGCTCCGCAAAGAGGCAGAAGAGGCCGCCGCCGCTCTTGCTGCAGCCTCTGTTCGGTTGATTTCGCCACTGGACGAAGAGTGGGAGGATAAAGTCGCAGCTGTCTTGAGACAGGCTCAGAACGAGGAGGTTGCACGTAATCTCACAGCTGGCGACATGGCTCGGCTGAAGCCCGGAGTTTGGCTGAACGACAACATCATCAATGCGTACCTTACTCACATGGTCGACGCAGCTCACGAGAAGGTTGGGTATGCAAAGAGCTCCAAGAAGCCGCCGACGTATCATGCTTTCAACACGCATTTTTTCAGCAACATCAGCGAGAAGGGCCCCGACTCCGTACATCGCTGGTTGACCCGAGCTCATTTGGACGGCACCAAACTCCTCTCTGTCAAGAAAATCTTCGTCCCCGTCAACTGTTCCAACTCGCACTGGACACTCATAGTCATCTCTCCTCAAGATCGAACCATCGAATATCTCGACAGTCTCGGTGCCGGAGGCGGGAACAGGTTCAACGTCGTTAAGAACTGGTTGCGGTACGAGCTTAAGGGCGATTACGTCGAGGTCGACTGGACGCTCATTGAACACCAGAGCCCACAGCAGAACAACCACAGCGACTGCGGCGCATTCGTCTGTTTCAACTCTTACGCCCGTCTGAGGGACTTGGAGCCGATGAACGTCTTCGAAGCGAAGGACATGCCTTCCGGCCGCAAGCAAATCGCCGCGACTCTGCTCAACAAGGGCTTCACGGGTGTCTTTTCCTGGACATGATCAGCCTTTAAGCGCGCGTCTAATGGTGTGATGTGTTCCGCTTGTTGCTGTTTGCGCCAGTTTTGGTTTTACGCCGTTGCGCTTGCTTCTCCGCATGACTTCATGAAACGCTCTAGAGGGACTCTGGTTAGATCCTGCATAGCGGATGGCGCGTTTATCTTTGTTTTGTTCGCGCTTGTCTGCGACGGCTGATACCCATGCTTTTTTGCCAAGCACTTGATTTTTCTTACGGTTTGACGATGCTGGATTCATAAGGGTTCCGTTTTCTATATTTGGCTCGCTGGGTTGGCTTAATGGTTGCGACCTTCTCGTTTCTGCAGGCACTTTGGATCGGGCTTTGTGGATGACTTTCTGGACACTGGCTTTCTTTTATCCTAATCCTCTCATCGCTCCGCTAATACTCCTTCCCCTCCTCGTTTCATGTTCTCTTTACATCCTCTCGGTCCACTTACCTCTCTCACGGCACTCTCGGTACCAATGCATCCGACAAACAACAAACCGCAGACAGACGCTCGGCACATGTATTCCTATTCATCCTATTGCCTTCGATAGGACAACCTTCCTCAACCGGTGCGTGCACCGGGTGATAGGTCATCCTTCCTCGATTGCGGGAAGGTGGGCTGGGTGCGTGTTTTGTTCGCCTGTTCTGTTGGTTCCTCTCGCGTGATGCTTTGGTTTCTGGGCTTGTCGTGCGGGAGGGGTTTGGTTTGGCTGGATTGTAGTGAGGGATGGGATGGGGTTGGAAGGGGGGAACGCGGGGATTTGAGGGGTTGGGATTTGGGAGGGCCGGCTGTCTGGACTTTACTTTTGGGTTTAATGTCTGTTTTGCGTATGATACCCCCCGAGCTCCAGGGAACGAGAGCATAGCGTTTAGTGTTAGATGGAAGACAAGTTCATGATCGTAGCTATGTCTCCTTGATGTGCAATCGAATGATGTGACTTGTACTGTTTTCATGGAACTTAATGAGAGTTGGCAAGAAATCTCCTGCAACTTCAAACTATCCGACTTTTATATGCTGTGTCTAGTAAAATTTGGCCAGCCCATGTTCATCCAAATGCATCAGCTAGGCTTTGCGGACACCCTGCTCAGGTGAATTTGTGAGCCAACGACTCCGCTGTACTTAACACATGTTTTGCATGCAGCATAAATCAAAATCTCTGTCCTCTTCAACGAGCCCACCCGGAGCACACTGTGCCTCTTCCGCAAGGCATCCCACAATGGCAGACTCCTCACCGAACCGCAGGGCTAGATCGCCCTCTTGCGTGACAGCAAAACCGACGTGCGTCCTCAATCCGTCGAAGGACGGCCCATAATAATCCTCCGTGTCTCCGTAAAGTTCTATTGGCAGCTGTCAAGCCGGGAGACCTTACAGCCTATTAGACCTGGCACCGTTAAGGACGTTACGGTCTGGTCATTGCCATTCTCCGCATCTCAACGGGCATTAAGATCCCAGAGCGGGAGCCGCATCCAGAGATGGCAAGTAATTACATTAAGCCGAAATACTTTTAGACGTTTGTCCTCTGTCAGATGTTTCTCTTTCAGTGTAAGAGAGTTTGATACCTTTCAGTGCAATATCCTTGCACTCTAGTTATCATGCGTTTGATATTGATATTTTCGCTGCTGCTCTCAGCAATCACTGCTTCATCTATCCCAGCTCGGGGCCAACTCCAGAACGATGTCCTTGCCAACAAAGCCCTACAAAATTTGGCAAAACATACAATATGGGATGAAGGTTCAACAGAGAAGTGCAGTATCCGAAACGCTGCGAAGAGACGAGAATGGTACCTCTCAGTGGCCACCGATGCTCTTTTGGTCAAGGATGCAAGCTGACCATCTTATTTAGGCACACATTGTCCAAAACGGAGAAGAGAACCTTTGTTGACGCCATCCTTTGCCTTTCCGAGAAGCCAAGCAGAACTCCACTTGAAGATTACCCTGGCGTGAGGAATCGATATGACGACTTCGTTGCGATCCACATGAATCAGACGTCCTTCATCCACCAGACAGTACAAACCCTCTCATGTTTCCGACTAAGGCTACTTATACTAACTGCTTCCTACATCATAGGCAAACTTCCTCTCCTGGCACCGCTACTTCATCTGGGTCTACGAGAAAGCCCTGCGAGAAGAGTGCGGGTACAAGGGCTACCTTCCCGTAAGCTCTCCGCCGCCATCAACTCTCTGCACCGCTGATATAGCAACAGTACTACAACTACGCCAAGTACGCCTCCGACCCACTCCAATCGCCCCTCTTCGACGGAAGCGACACTAGCATCAGCGGCAACGGCGCCTACGTCAACCACACCGGCCTCGACATCCCCAACGCCTCCGTTCCACACATCCACATCCCTCCCGGCCCCGGCGGCGGCTGCATCACCACCGGGCCCTTTGTGAACTGGACCGCCAATCTCGGGCCCGTGGTCAACGCCCTGCCGTACGTGGAGAAGAACCCGGATCCCGCTGGTCTGGGGCGGTACTACAACCCGCGGTGTCTGCGGCGGGATATCTCGGCTTTCGTGTCCGCGGGCTGGGCGAAAGACCAAGATATCGTTGACTTGATAAGCGACTACACGGATATCCTCTCCTTTCAGAGCAGGCTGCAGGGCGATTCCAAGGCGGGATACTTGGGTGTGCTTTCGGCGGGTCATTGGATGGTCGGCGGTGATCCGGGTGGGGACTTCTACACGAGTCCCGGGGACCCGTGGTTTTTCTTGCATCATGCTATGATTGATCGCATTTGGTGGACTTGGCAGAATCTGGAGGTTGAGGAGAGGACGTTCCAGGTGGGGGGTACGATTACGTTTTTGAACAACCCGCCCAGCAGGAATGGGACATTGGATGATGTGCTGGATTTGGGAATCGATGGTGAAGCGATCATGATGGGAGAGGCGATGAGTTCGGTTGGGGGACCGTTTTGTTACATTTATGTGTGAGGAGGGTGTGGCTGCTATACTAAGCACAGTAGTAAGAGAATTGTACACACCCCTCTATTTGTGTGGGCAACAGCGCTACGTGCAGCGTGTGGTTCAACATCGCAGTCACCAAACCCGACATGACGATCTCTTCTGCCCACCAGCAACATATGCAGACGCCGAACACGCGGTATAAGGTGCCATGCGCGAGTAGAGATCTTGAATGGAAGTTAGAGTGATAAGCGATGTGTTTGGTTTGTGGTGTGTTGAAAAGGATGGAGCTGAAGGATGGGCGTGAGAACGACGGTTAGGAGAGGAGTGGATGGAAGAAGGATGGATGGATGAGAGAGATTGAGAGAAATGAATCGGTTGAGCCTTGTTTATGGCACTGAGTTGCTTTGTCGGTTGGAGGTAGAAGGTGTTAATTTCCAGGCAGTCGAAGGACGGAGCAGCCACAGGCAAGGAAAGAGGAAGCCGGTATTCGCTGAAAAGGCCCCAGGAGGAACAATCACGAGTGAGGAGAGATCAATGGACTCAAAATCAATGCAGCAGCACTGGAGAACGAGGAGCACATATCACGACGTTGTTGATTGTCCACTTAGATACTCGCCTACAGCCTTGACTGCAGTCTCAAACTTAGACGCCTCAAGCAAAATCATGTGACCCGTCGGCCTTATCCCCATCTCCTGAAACGCGCGCTTCGCGTCTGACGCGCCCTCGTCACTTTGCTTGGTATACTCGAAGCTGCATTGCGCAAGCGCGTGCTTGTGTAGCACCTCGTCTTCTGGATGGAAGTAGAACGTCTCCTCTCCTTTTGTGTCCTTCCGCTTCTTCTTCTGCGGCCGATTCTCTTCTTGGTCGAGCTTCGACTCTACTTCCGTATAAGTCTTCGAGAGTACCAGGTAGTGTGTGAAGTTGTATGGTTCCTTCTCCTCGAGCGCCCATGAAATCTCCTCGAGAAGCATGTTGTACATTGGCGGGACGATTTCGGCGGGCATATTGACGAAGCGCTCAGTCAGGATTAGGCCGACTTCCGCAGAGGATGAAGGGTCTAGGAGCGCTGGTAGTTGGTCTATTGAGGGACTGGATCTTGACTTGTCCGCTAGGTAGCGCGCGAGATCCTTGATCACCTGCTTGTCCTGGTTGCTCCCTGTCAGCATGGGCAACATACATCAGCCCAGCCAACCAACCTGATGCTGGCACATATTCAGCACCGTCAGGAATGCGAAAGGATCTGACTCATTTCCATCCGTCTTGACCGTCGAGCCGAGCAACGGCTGCGAGAGTATGAAGTCGGACAGCGCGGAGAGGTCGAAGAGTTCGGCGTCCACATCGAATAGTTGTCGCAATAGTGTCTTCAGGCCATGGAAGTCGACCTCGGGCTGAGGATCGAACCACTCGAACTCAACATCGAGCATGTCCATGTCCTGCTCTTACGCTTCATGTTAGCGGGGTGTATCGAGCAGCGGCGAGCTGGCGGGCGGACCTCGTCGCTGCTTTCTCCCTCATCTGCGCCATTTGCACGCGCTGGCGCATCTTCCAAGGTTTCTGGATCTTTCCTTGCCTTCCTCTTCGCCATGGTGGAGATGTGTTGATTTTATGAGGTCGATGTCAAGTCTGCTCTCACGATGACCGTTTCTCGAACTTTTTGGAGTGCAGGGATGTGGACCCTGAATTCCAGCCCTGCGAAAATGCCCCACCATCAAAAATTGTCACAGGTCGCGTTGCGCGCATGTCCTGATCCTCAAACGATTAAGCAATCCCACCGCTACCACAATGGCGACCAACGGCGAGCTCCCAATCGAACCCCACAAGACCTTCGACACAATCCTCGTCCTTGACTTTGGCTCCCAATACTCCCACCTAATCACCCGGCGTCTCCGCGAGCTCAATGTCTACTCCGAAATGCTCCCTTGCACGCAGAAGCTATCCGAGCTATCATGGAAGCCCAAGGGTGTCATTCTATCCGGAGGGCCGTATTCCGTGTATGAGAAGGGCGCGCCTCACGTCGACCCCGCTGTCTTCGACCTGAACGTCCCGCTACTGGGCATCTGCTACGGCCTGCAAGAGATTGCGTGGCACCATGGGAAGAACGTGCTTGCGGGCGAGAAGCGAGAATATGGGCATGCCTATCTGGACATTCAGAGGCATAATAGTGGAGCAGGTCACATCGACGAGCTCTTCAAGGGACTCGAGGACAATCTGGAGGTGTGGATGTCGCACGGAGACAAGCTATCTCACCTTCCTGACTCATTCGTTACGATCGCGACAACCTCCAATGCTCCGTTCGCTGGCATTGCGCATACCGAGAAGCCGTACTATGGCATACAGTTCCATCCTGAGGTCACCCATACGCCGAGAGGTACACAGCTGCTAAAGAATTTCGCAGTCAACGTCTGCAGAGCGGAGCAGAACTGGACGATGAGTAAATTCGTCGACCAGGAGATTACCCGCATCAGAAAGCTTGTAGGTGAGAAAGGCCAGGTCATAGGCGCCGTGAGCGGCGGCGTGGATTCCACCGTGGCCGCGAAGCTTATGCAGGAAGCCATTGGTGATCGCTTCCATGCCGTTCTGGTCGACAATGGCGTCCTGCGCCTTAACGAAGCCCAGATCGTCAAGGAGACGTTGACGAAGCATCTCGGAATCAATCTGACAGTTGTTGACGCGAGCGAGCGGTTCCTAGGCCTGCTCAAGGGCGTGAAAGATGATCCCGAAAGGAAACGGAAGATCATTGGCAACACCTTCATCGAAGTCTTCCAGGAAGAAGCGAAGAAGATCGCAGATGCGGCAGCCGGCTCCTCGAAAGCTGGCGAGATCGAGTGGCTCTTACAAGGCACCTTGTATCCGGACGTCATCGAGAGCATTTCCTTCAAAGGCCCAAGTGCAACGATCAAGACGCATCACAATGTTGGCGGCCTACTTGAGAATATGCACCTCAAACTGATTGAGCCATTGCGAGAGCTCTTCAAGGACGAGGTCCGCGAACTCGGAACGCAGCTTGGGATTCCAGAAGACCTGGTTTGGAGGCATCCGTTCCCAGGCCCTGGCATTGCGATCCGGATCCTGGGAGAGGTCACACCAGATCAGGTCCGTATCGCCCGAGAAGCTGACAACATCTTCATTGAGGAGATCAAAGCCGCTGGTCTTTACCGAGATATCAGCCAAGCTTTCGCGGCGCTCCTGCCCGTCAAGGCTGTCGGCGTCATGGGAGACAAGAGGGTGCATGATCAGGTCATTGCTCTCCGTGCTGTGCAAACGACCGACTTTATGACGGCGGATTGGTATCCGTTTGACGGGCAGTTCCTCAAGCGCGTCAGCAGAAGGATTGTGAATGAGGTCAAAGGGGTTTGCCGTGTCGTTTATGACAGTAAGTCTCCCACTGTAGAGACTGTAAAGGATCAAGCTGACATGAAGAATAGTTACAAGCAAGCCGCCTGGCACCATTGAGATGGAGTGAACTCTGGGGCTTGGTCGTTCATGGCGTTCTGCATATCTGGCGTTGAAATGATGCATGAACTAAAAGATAGACTATGACATGGCTTAACGAGCGTTATACCCTGATAGAGTAATTGAGTTTCTCATAATACACTGATGTAAATCTGAAATCTGCTGCCGTCGGTGTTACTATGCAGAAGCATCCGGCTCTTGGCGAAGTTGACGTCATCATCCCACCATCCATCCCACTAAGAGTGAGAAAAGGTTCACCCTTCGAGACAAACACTTCTATCAGACCTTCAATTGCAGACCGAATCCACTCAATACAAGGAAACGACCAAGTACAGTACTTTCCACCCATTTATCCACCCATTCACCATGAGCGGCAACTCCAACGTCGGCAACCGACAGGTGTACGAGGCCGGTGACCAGGTCGATCTCTCCAGTCTGTCACCGTCTGCTGATCACTGTCGCTGACGATGCAATAACACAGAGGAACTACAAAGACTCCGAGATCAACGAGGCCGAGCGCTACAAGGAGGGCAAGCCCAACAGCCATCTCGCCCAAGACTCGAGTGGGTTCCGCCAGCACGACCCACTACAAATAGAGCCAGAGCTGATTGCACAATCAATAGAGGACAACCGGACGATAGCCAACAAGCTCGCTCGCGAGGAGAAGGTACAGTGCCGCCAGGGTGTTACATTAGTCCGGAGCGCTGACCATTGCAGCGCGGTGATGAGGAGGAGGACAACAAGAGTGAGGAGACGAAGCTGCACAATAAGGATCCTACGCTACCCGTAGGTCTCCACGTCCTCCAAACGACAGCTCTATCTTTGCAGAACGGCTAACATGATCATCACTGCAGGCCAGGTCTCACGGCAACGAGCCCAGCAAGGGGGCCAAGATCGACAAGGAGCTGCAGGATGAGGAAGAGGAGATCCTGAAGAAGAAGGGCTCTTTTGGCCCCAAGGGCTCTTGAGATTCTGAAGAAGATGGGCTCTCAAGAGGATGCCCTCTAGTTGATTCTATTCTATCTGCATGGTCGGCGATGTGGACAGCTAGCTTCTCGGCAATAGCAAAACAGACATCTTGACGAGTCGCTAATGATATGCACTGCTTAAATGTTCGCCAGTCTTCGATGTTCCTTCCCAGTAGCAACATGAGCTCATAGGACACTAGCCGATACTCCATACTCTTACCGCAAAGTGGCCCTTCTAAGTGGTCCAATCTTTTCCATGCAGCCGCAGCGCGGCGCAGCTGCGTTTCTTCTGCGCGCCGACCCATTGAGTTGACGACAACCATCTAATTGATCTCATGACTTCTTGTGCATCACAGTTGCAGCCGCCTTCCCAAGTCAGTTTCTGCGTGTTTTCGTAAACGGAAGCCCGTAACGCACCTGATGGTTTGGGTAAATCAACGACTCTGCAAGTACCACGTTCTCTCTCCTCCCAGCAGCGAAGACGATGAGTTCCGCGATGTCTTCCGGCGTCAACGGCTCACAGTTCGCATAGACCGCATCCGCTTTCGCCTTATCGCCATAGAACCTGACAACCGAGAACTCCTGTTCCTTGTCAGCATCCCTCATCTCTGTCAACCCCTTACTCAACCTACCGTCTCGACCTGTCCCGGATCCACCCCAATAACCCTTATGCGCGTTGCAACAAGCTCCCTCCTTAACGCATCCGTGAATATCTTTACAGCAGCCTTTGTCGCGCAGTATATGCTGCCGCCGGGATACCCCTGATGCCCGGCTATGCTGCCGATGTTAATGATGTCGCCTTTCCCGCCGTCAGGCCGCTTCTTGTAGATCTTGAGGACTTCCTGCGTCATGTTTATGAGCCCGGTCACGTTGGTCGCGAACATGGTGTCTATGTCTTCTGGGGCGATGTCGGGGGCTTGGGCTACGCCTTTGACGAGGCCGCTGTTTACACACCTCTTGTCAGCAAAGGTGTGTTAGGAGGTCTATTGTGGGCTGTGCGGGCTGTGCGGGCTGTGGTTGAGAAGACGTACGCATTGTTCACAAGCACATCGATCTCCCTAAATTCCTCCGGCAGCCCCTCCACGAATCCTTTTACTTCTTCCGGCTTGCTGACGTCCAGCTTGACGGGAAGAACCTTGACACCCTCGCCCACCTCTGTCTTGATCTCTTCTGCTAGCTCTTTCAGTGCGTCGATCCGCCGTGCTGTGACTACAAGCTTGAGGTTCTTAGGCGAGGTTTTGGCGAACTCTTTTGCCGCGCTGCGTCCGATGCCGGAGGAGGCGCCGGTAATGACTATGGTTTTGCCTTCGAGGCGTTGGGCCATTGCTGAAGCCATTGTGCGTTTGAGGGTGGTGGGGAAGAGGAAGTGGGGGTTTATGGTGGGGTTGTGGTGGTTAAAGATGCTGTTGGAGTAGAGGGCGAGACGGCGGAGGGTCTGATAAGGGCGCATGTGCTTGTAACTCATAAAAGTTCCAGTCTTTTGAATTGGTCGAAGCAATTGAGGCTGAAGTGTTGGGTGTGTTCCAGGTCTGGAAAGAAGAACGTGGTGGGGAGCTTCGACCCAAGGGCCTCGGCAAAGCTTCCGCAGAACCCTGCGCGGCTTCAAGCCACCAACGTGCCGCCTTGCTGGATCGGGACAACGTGCCAAAGCTTGACTGAACGTCAACCCATCTAATGGAGCTGTGTCCCAGCAATGGACGGATGACAGCTTGTCAAAGTCGGGTGTGGGGTACCCCGGCCTGAATCGTGCTTCGACGATGATAATGGAGTAGCCGTAGACCAGATCTTGAAGAGAAAGGCTGTATAATGGGGATAAACAAAGACCGAGCCAGGCATCGCAGAAAGGGAACCTTCTTACAAGACGAACGAAAGGCAAAGAAAGAGCTTGGGTACCCGTGGTAGCTGTTCTCTACTTCTAGCAGCGACAGCGCGCCCAGACGCGGAGTGTGTCATTGAAGGCTGGCAAGCCGAATGAAAATTGCTCGATAGACGGGTAGACGCTATTGGATTTGAATGCAGCGCAGGAGTACAATTGCTGGTGCCGGACGTTGCGTTTGCTGGTTGTCTTGCTGGTAGCAATGACTGTACTTTCCGTTCGCCAGTTGCCAGTCTGATGATACAAGATGAGCGTTATCAGCCTGTAGGTACATATCCATGGCCGTGTATACTCATAACTAATTTATCGTAGGACGCGTTCTATATTTCTTATTACTCAAGCTGCATCTCTGCGTCTTTTCAAGTTTATTGTATGTCTTAGCCGAGCATGAAGAGATGACAATAGAGCTTTTCCATTGTTTGAATCCTTAACAGACTTCTTTTGTGTGCAGCTGCCTTTGTATGACAACGGGTTGTTGCCACTCTTCGCTCCAAAAGCTACTATGTGGTCTTCCAGGGCGGGGGAGGTGACATATTGCTTACTCCTCTAGTCCTTGCGTCTGACAACAGCTTGCCAAAAGTCGCGAGATATTTCCGTTCGCACCAATACCGGTACATCGACCTTTGCTGTAAGTATCATTGTCGGCTTGCGCGCACCAGCTGAGCGCGTGAATTTAGCAAGATCATTGGCTGACTTGATTACAGAGTCACGAACTCCGCGCGTAGATACTCGCTCCGACGCTCAGCCGGTTGTAACGCCGTGAATTTTCCTTTACCAACTTACTCACAGGCGCGCCAGTGGGGCCGTGGTGTTGTCACAGGAACATGGAGCTCATTCACAACTGTCGTGCCCTGACAACCGTCTCTATCAAGTCACTCGCTCTGTATCATCCTCCTCCCTTCTTCATTGCAACTCGCAACTCGCTCCAGAACGATACCAATACCGCGATTTTCCAGAAAAGTATCGCCTTCCAAGCATTTCCATTCGCAAGCCCTTCTGAGACACGCTTATTATCGCAAGTTGATCTACGTTGTTGACAGCACGCTCTGCCTGTTTTTGTTGTTTCAAGCGACGTGATATCTGGTACCTTCAACCACGGTTTCTCATCTTTAACTCTTCCACACCTTACTCCTGTCAACACGACAATCCACACACCTAAAGCAAACGCTTATCCGCAAATCGCCATGCCTTCTCTTCTCTCCCTCGTGTTTGCGCCGTCCGCGAACGCACAGCACTCATGGAGACAGCAAGCGATATCATCGCAGCAAGTCTTCTCTAATGTAGAGGTTAGTAATCCACCGCACCTCAGTGGTACCGATGTTGACTCGCTACCGCAGTTCCTGGCGCACCAAAACCCATATCGGGTCAAAGCGCTTAGCTCTCAAGAGTTTCTTTTGACTTTTGAGGAGCCTCAAACCTTGTACGCCATACCCGACCTGCCGGCCGACCAAAAAGATTGGTCGTCTATCGCTGCGCGCATTGTTAGCGCGTTACCAACAAGTATCTGGCGGGACACGCGCGACCGCCAACTAATCCTTTACACGCCTCCGATCCTTCTTCCAGGCCTAGCACAGCCTAGCGACCTCCCGCTGGTACTTGCGCCGCGACCGGTAACCCACTCCGGCGATCTCAAACCTCACGAGACTAGCCGGCGTTCAGAGTTCGCCGTCGAGTGCCTCAATTCGAACTGGGCGCATTTCTACCTTCAGCAGCAGAGCCTCGCAGCGAGGGGCGTCTTCCGGCGCACATGCTTCAAGAAGAAAGACGTGCCGGTCCCTGCATACAAAAGCTCGACACGATACTTCGCAGAGGATCAAGGCGGGTTCTACGGGGTCGACGTCGACACTCCAGATTCCTCGACAACTCCCCAGGACGCATACTCTGCTCCCATCATCGAGGAAGAGGGAGAGATGGCTCCCACCATCGTCTCAACGCAGATGGAGCCGGTCGCCGAAGCATCGCAAGGGATGATCACCACCGAAATCGAGCCTGCTAAAGCGGCTGAAGCACAAGACGACCCCTATGTGTTCGAGTTCCCAGATGAGGAAGAAGAACTCGAACAGCTCATCCGGGAAGAAGCGCCGAGGGACCTTGAGCGAATGGCCGATCGGGCTCGGAAAAATTCCCTAGTCAGCATTGATGAAACATCCGAAGCCCAGACTAACGATGAGGTCCACCTCACTCCTCCCGAGGAGGCCACGCATTACCGATTAGACGAGGAGGAAGACTCCGAAGCAAACACTGACGTTGAAACCGATCTTGCGACACCGGAGGAAGCTATGCACTATCGCTTGAGCGACAAGGTGCATGACTATGAGAATGAGAGTGAAGAAGCCGCTCACGAAGTGCAGAATGAGGAACTGCACCAGGATGTGGATGTGGTGGCCATGATCCAGTCCGCATCATTAGATGTTCATGCGGAGCTCGAGAATTTGCCTCGCCGCGCGTACGAGGTCCCGGACGGTGCAGAGGTTGATCCATACTGGGCTCCTTACGAACACAACTCTCTGGTTCCCGAGAGCACCAAGACCTCTCCGGAAGTGTGCGTCTGGACAACAACACACCATGAGGACTTGAACTTCTATGAGGGTCACGTCCGTAAGGGGTGGGACGAAAATCAAGGCGAGGAGCACGATGCTTTCCGCCGCCACGTCTTGTCCGCCAGCGCTTGGTCTCACGTCTACGTGATGGACCCCACCTCAGGCTACAAAGTGCCGTACGGTGCGATGAATCGGCGGTTGGCAGAGGAGGTATACGAACCGGGTACGAGTGGCATCAAGAGGAAATGGTGGTACAAGCCTGGCGCTAAAGGCTTCAAAGAAACGGTGGATCCGGAAACCCAAACGAACCGGAAGACCTTCTGCCCTCGGCGATCGCGGCTGACAGAAGCGCAGAGTGCTTCTGATGATGCGGACGAGGACTCGTATGTCTCTGCGAGTGACTTTGACCAGACTCCTGCCGAAGAGTTCCAGCACCTCTATGCTGGCCTCTCACAGGATATACTGGACGGCGGTGAGGCCTCGGACTGGAGCGACTTCGGCAGTAAGCGTTCTGAAGACGATGATGTCACAGAAGAGGAAGGGTTTGAAGAGGCGGCAGGAAGCAATGTCGAGTTCGCTTTTGACGACGAAGGCATGACTTCACAGTCAGTGCGAGAAGCGTGCGCTGACGCGCGCTCTGGATCCTTGAATGGCCGCCAATCACGTTTCGGCCTACGTGATGAGGACTTGGACTCAGTCGCATCCGACACTGAGTTGCTGGGATCGTCTCAAGCCGTGAAGCGGTCTCTATCAGCGCCACCGTCGCTGTACCGGGAGACGTCCATGGCTGGCATCGGTGGCGATGAGCGCGACGTTGAGGAAGACAGCTTACTCTTAGAGCAAGACGAGGACAGCTATGACGGTAGCGTCGAGTACACCGCCGACGACGAGCCAACCTTTGGTGATGCTCACATCGTAGTGATGCAACGGCAGGCGCGTGTCTTTGGCCAGGATGATGACGCCTTGGACAGCTCGATGATCCAAGACCACCATGAAGAGAATGCCGAGAAAGACGCGGCTTCAGGAATGCCAGAAGATATGAGCTTCGAAAACGGCCAGGAGAACGACACCGTCGGTGCTGACCAGAAAGGAGGACCGGAAGTAGACAACATAACTGATGAGGGTCGAGATGAGGATGGTCTGATCCTCCAAGACCTCTCAATCGCCACTCCCCCACCTGCTGCCGTCTAGCATGAGGAGATGGAATATCTACAAGATCCGAAAGTACAAAGCGAAGATCTGCGTCGAGATTCTGGTATCGACAGCAGCGGCTCTTCTTCACTCAGCTCGACATCTGACTCATCCTCCCCGTTGCATTCAAGCGTGAGCAATCTGGCCGAGGCAGCAATGAATGCTGCCTTGGAAGATGTCATCGAGCGGTCCTTCAGTAAGCGCTATTCCCTTAGCAGCAGCATGGCGGGTGTACTAACGTGTAATCCTCTAGTGAACGCCCGGCATCAGGAGTCCGAAATCTCTACCGCCAAGACAGTCGCTGACGCGCCATCGTCGTCGAGATTGGGGGGTACGATACAGGCCGCGGTCGTCAAAGGCGACAACAATCGCGATGTTTGGCCAATTGACCAAGCGCCAACATCCATTGGTCTGGCGACGACCGCGATCGCCAGTGCACCGGTCTACACCACGTTCACTCCAGCCCAGCGCACAGCTTCCGACGCGCTAGTTAAGTTGATCGCATCGCAAGTTCCGTATTCAACTCTCGAACTGGGTGTGAAAATCACCGGCAGGGTACGTGCATGTGGACGGGTCGTAAGACGGATACCCACCCTAGCCTGGGGTTCGATGTGCGGCGCTGCGAGCGCAGCCGCGAGTCTGGGGATTCGGGCTGTGAGCGGGACCCATGCAGTCGCTCGAACGGTCTGGCATACACTGATGGTAGGGTCGATCGTTCCAGAAGAGGTGGAGCAATTTCTGGGTTGAAGATTCGTGCATGCACTCGCTTGGGCCCGTGGATCGCAGCTGATGATTATCCGGGGTACGGGAGCTCAGCAATCATGACTTTCACGAAGCGTTCGATTATGGAATTTATGAAGGCATTGGGGGCATCTCTGACAGAACTGTTCTGAGCGGCATCTAGTTACGCGGATTGGAGTTCGGTGGACGACGTTACACGCATGGACGGTGCACATGACCGGCATACAAGGTGTTTGGCTTTTGTTTGCATTTACAATGGTGTTTCTGGGTTTGGGACGCATTATGATACCCTTACGGTTCCGCATGGTTGATTTGGCATGCACTGGCGTTGGGAGACTGAGAGCGTCAACATCACGATCAGATATTTTACGAGCGTACTAGACTTATCCGAAGTTCTATGAATAACAACATCATTCCTCAATTTCCGCTTCTGATCTGCGATCATTACCGAGAATGGAACAAGAAGTGATGTTGGCTGATGAAGTCACGTGCGATGGCAGTATATCGCGGGCTCGACCGCGTCTGTTCGACGACGCGACAGCTTGCCCTCTCACCATCGGATGCTGACAACTGTCTCGACTAAAATGTGTCCTTCGAATCGATGATGGGCGCGCTACATGGTTCAAGCACCGCACTGAAAGAAATTGACAGCAGTTTCGCAAACCTACAGGAGTGCCGAGCCAGCGGGAAGTACCCCGTCCCATACGACACACATTCTGCAGCACGCCTATTGGTATCGTGCTGCATCTTAATCTTGTTCGTTTTACTCCGGAAAGATTTCGGCCACTGGAACAAGCGCAAGCTTTTGAATCTTAGTCACCAAAATGCTACACGAAATTCTTCTTTCGCTTTCCGGCCATCCTTCCGCGCTTTTTGAAGACTCTGCGAGGTCTGAGTTGAGGCTAGACAGCTTTCCACTGCTTTCACCGCCAGAGAAGGCCCTGCTCTCTTCGGTTGGACATCTAGCTAGGCTGCATCGAGCGCTCAGAGATCATGCTGCCACCATTTCCTCTATCCACCCCTCTGCAATCTGTCGTGCGGTGGCTGTATCAATCTCTTTCACTCATCTCACGAGGTTCCAGCAGAAGATACTCGATGTTGAGAGTCAGATCCTGCGAAAAGACGCCGCCATCGTCGGCGCATACAACATTGTTCCTCTAGCCGGCGTAGTCGGCCAGTTTGATGAGTGGACCAGACGTCTGGAATGGCTGTGGGATATTTCCTGCTACATGCTCCCATCCGAGGCCGATTGCGCTGCAAGCGAGGAGGCTAGGACTGCAAACGCGTGCACCGGGGCTAGCATCATTGATAAATTGCGTCAAGAGGCTCAGACCGGATATCCCGACATTGAAGCCGCAGCGACCGAGCTCATCAAGGTAGCCGAGACGGCGTGGCTGAAACAACTATCAACGTGGGTCTTGTACGGACATATACCCGCATATGGCGGTAAGGATTTCTTCGTTCATACAGATGAAGATACAGCAGACAGCATTCCAGAGTTCCATGCCAACAGCAAGCTGCTTCCCAAATTCATCTCACCACAAGCAGCAAGTTCCGTCCTGTTCATAGGCAAGTCTCTAAATCAAATTCGATCCCATCACAGAAACATTGAGACTTCACACGAACGCTCGTCCACAGCATCGGAGCTAGAACTCGTAACGGTCCATCTGCAGTACCTGTCAGCACTGAGTTCCCCCATTTCATCTGCCAGCTTCTCGGATGCAATCTCCGCAATTCGTGTGTCGTTATCTCGAAACACACTTCAGCAGCTTCTTCCACTACCAAAGATCCTGCAGATCCTGACGCTGCTGAAGGATTTCTTTTTGCTCGGACGCGGCGAGTTTGCGATGGCTCTAATCACGGAAGCGAACGAGCAACTCCGTTCACGGCATAGCTCAAGTGGACAACCCAGACACCGACCTAACCATAATCTGCAAGGTCTACTCATCAAGGAAGGGGAGGTCACAGCGGTTCTGATGCGGACATGGGCAGTTTTGTCATCTTACACGGGAGATGAAGATATCACCGACGACATTTTGGACCTCGCGCGCGATACAGTCCATCTCTCCATATCCAAACCGGCTACCACACGTCCCGCGACCCCAGGGCGAGCCAGGGAAGATCCTGTATCACTCCCCGAAGTGGCAGGTGTTACCTTCAACGATGTCCTCATGGCTATGCCCATCACTCTGAACCTGGACATACCCTCCCCCATGGATCTCTTCATCAGTAGCTCAGAGTTGGAGGTTTACTCCACGATACATGCGTACCTCCTGGCGATTCGCAGAGCACACTTCAGGTTGGCCGACCTTTGGCGGCACAGCAGCCTTCGCCGAATTCACCCCGCGCCTCCAGGCCCAGCTCATTGTGCTCTACCAGGTGGCCGAGATGAACTCAGGAAACGGAGGCAGAGGGCCGATACGCGCGCCTTAGCTCTGCGAAAGGTCTGGGCGACTTGCAGTGCTGCAATTTTCCTCCTCGCCGAGACGGCAGGATACTTCGAAGGAGAAGTCATTCAAGTGTCATGGAAACATTTCCATCGCTGGATCACAGCGGCTCAGGCGACAGGTGGCTCGGCATCAAGACCACAGACTTCGTCATCCTTGATTCACAGCACAATAAGCACGAGACCGTTGTCCGCTGAGTCGTACAGGCCAAGCCAGCATGGAACGCGTGGTGAATCGGCTGAGCGAGCTGAGGAAACACCGCATGATCCCGAGGCGCTCGCGTCTGCTCACCGCAGGTTCCTGACGGCACTTGTGGGCTCACTGCTCTTAGCAGACAATGACTGGGCCCGCACGTTACGGACTCTCCTGTCACATGTTGATGAGCTGGTCGCCTTCTTCACTCGTCTGCAGACCATCCAGCAGAACCTTGATCTCGAAGAAGATGAAGGCTTGGTAGACGCTTTGACCAACCATGCCGAGGAAGAGAGACAGGTAGCACTCGAGCTAGACCGCTCACGAAAGAGGATAGACAGCGATCTACAATCGCTAGTGGCTCGTCTGAGGATTATTGATACTGAGCGCCTGGGATCTAGCGGCTTCCACGTCAAGCCGTCGTTGAGTGAAGACAGCTATGAGCCGTGGAGATGTGGCGGAGTTGATCGCTTGCTGATGAAGCTTGATTTTGGCAGTTCGGTGGCAGATGACAATGAGGATACAGACAAAGACTAATCTCGGTTTCTCTGACACTCCTCGCGCTTCGCTGTGGACAGTATCTTACGTGGCACGAACGATTGAAAGGTCAAGAGATCAGTTTCCGCTGCGATGCATACACTGATATTTATGCCATGCTTGCTACATGTATAGGGTACGTGCCATGCTAACAAGTATGACCAAACCGCTGACGTATGCAGTCTTGCCAGCAAATTGCGCTGCTTTGCACTCCATGAGCAGATAAATAGTGCAATCAGCCTCGCTTTACTCCCACACTCTTCAAACACCAGCAACGACTATACAGACTTAAAGCTTCCAACAACATTAAGCCATAGGTGAATCACACGTGTGCAGTATTGCTATTCCATCCTGGTCAGTCGTCAGCTTATTGAATTCACCCTGAACAACCCGTATGCTCTTGGTGCTGCAACAGATGATTAGGCGCTTTCCACAGAACGCTTTTCTTTGCCACTGACTGACTCAACCCCCAAGTTTCTTGCCGCTAACTCTTGTCTGTAGGAAGTATAGTATTATTCTTCGGCTCAACAAGCCAACTCCAAACATCGACCCATCAGAGCATCGAAGCCACTCAGTTAAATATCCCAACGCCTTCTGAATCAGTTTATCACTCTCTGGACAACCTCCTTATTGCAGTCCCTCCTCGACATCAGGCTTACCTCCGTTAGCCGAACAGCGAGACTTGCAATCATGTGTTTACAAGGCATGGTCACTTTTGAATGCGGCTGCCGTCAACCGTACTTCGATCCCTGCGAGCGTTGCTATCAAAATGACCAGCCTTGTCCAAATCCGGGAATGGAGGACGACCTTGAACATCGCCCATGCCCGGATTGCGGCGGTCCGCCCTACTTTGAAGACGAAGAGGATGGTCCATACGGATACGCTGAGCCATTCGGACGTGGGGGTGGGTCGTTTGGACAGCCCGGTGGACCATTTGGACAAGGCGGTAGGCCATTCGGTTACGGTGGTGGCTTGTATAGACAGGACTGGCCGTTTCAACACCACGGTGGACCTCTCGGACAGCGTGTTGGACCGTTTGGCCAGCGTGGTGGGCCATACAGACGCGGTGGTGGGCCGTACAGACGCGGTGGTGGGCCGTACAGACACGGTCGTGGGATGTTCGGCCAGGGTGGACCGTTCGGGCAGCGTGGCGGTTCATTTGGACGGTCGGGACCATTTGGATACGGCGTTGGCCCGTTCGAGCGAGGCGGCAGGCCATTCGAGCGAGGCGACGGCGTATTCACGCGGGACAGAGGCCCATTCGGACAACCGGGGCCATTTAATCGGGATGATGGGCTACACGGGCAGGGAAGGCCATATGGAGAGCACGAACCGAACGGACTAGGCGCCGGAGGTGCAGCGAGAGCACCGTTCGAAGCGATCATGGAGTACCTTCGCCGTCGTAATGGCGGTTAATGAGGCGACGATGGCATGGGGTGAGCGGAAGTATAGCTTAACATTCTACCATCTCTTGCGGAGCGCCTTTCACCACCATGTTTTCTTCAGGTCTTGTGCCACAGTCTTCTCTTGTGTGATTCAAAACAGTCAACTACATACCGTATTGGGAGTCCTGCACCCCAAGCCCTCGGTTCAAGCGTGGCAACTTTCGTCATAGCGGGTTAATGTTCATCACCGGCCAGCATTCCGTACCCCTAGTGTGTGTCACGATACCACGAGTGAATCAACATACTGCTGACGCACGACTTGTCATCACCACGTTGCGTTGCGTTGCTGTTTAGTAGCATACAAATACCGCGAGCTTCTCTTCCACAGATTACGTCCCCGACCTACCAACATCCAACAAACTTCAACATATTAACCACAAAGATGAACCCTATACTTCTTCAGAGCATCTCGCTCACCCCCTTGAACTGCTGGTAAGTCTCACATTTCTGTTACCACTTCGCTCTAGCCCGTCCTCAAAACTAGATGGAGGTGGATCAAGCCTCCGGCAGCGCAAGTCATACCCTATCAACCAATGCCTTTGTAGAGTCCTGCAGTCATTTGTATCTTTTACTAGAGTCCATATAGCGGCTAATTCCCTCGCTACTATCTCTTGTCGACGCTGACACCTCGAGTGTAGGGAAAACAAACCTCACCGTTTCGCTTTCTCGTGCCAATACAGGACACTTAGCCACCAGCGCGTCGAAGCTGTCGAGCTAAAGATTACAACCTCTCGCACTCTCATCCTCACTGTCTGGACTTTCTACGCCTCCAGGCCCCACGAATCTTACACTTCTCACTCAATCGGACCGTAGGCTCAGCCGCTCAACATCATGTGCATCATACAAGTAACCGTCTATGATTGCGACCACTCCGCCCGATCTCTCCGGCACTGTGGGATCGCCGAGCTACGCGGACGGCCTTGCGTACTTCCTCCCCGGGCACAAGATTTCCACCTTGGTCTGTGCCCGCGCTGCGAGCGCCTGGGCGGAAGCTACCTAGATCCATATGTCGCGGTTGATGTGCCTGTGGTGGTCGGACTCGGGTACAGAGCCCCAGTCGGTCTGCTCAATCCAAGCATCATACCCGTTCATACGGTCGTGGACAACCGCCTCACGGTATACGATCCGGGTTATGTGGAGGACTATCTCAGCCCCCTGGATCGCCCAACGCGAACTGCACGCGGTGCGCTTCTTGCTGGCCCTGGGTATGGGCCTTTCGGAGGTCCTCCGGCGGATCGGGCTCCACAGGCTCCACAGGCTCCACAGGGTCGGTATGGTGGAGAGGCGAGGCAGGCTGCTCCGGCTGGACAAGCTGCTTACGCCGCGCAGGATGAAGAGTATGAGGAAGAGGAGCCTGCTGAACAGGCTGCTCCTGCACAACGAGCCGCTCCTGCTCAGCGAGCCGCTCCCGCTAGGCAGACTGCGCCCGCTGGACTGGCTAACCCAAGCAGACAGACCGGGCGATACAGAAATGGTGGACGGGGTGGGCGAAGTGGTCATGGGCCCTCTTTTTGAGGTTGTGGAAGCAATCTCAGCGGTGAGGTCTCCTGAGGGTCATCGATGCATGTGCGGAACATTCCTGATTACTGTCTTACTGTCTTACTCTGCGTTCCTGTATCACGATATCTCCATGTAGTTCCATGGAAATGATGCCATGTCTTGCTACAAGTCAGCTTATCAGAAGTACCCCGAGGCGAGGACAAAGATCCATGTGATAATGAAGCCCTCTTAGGGTTACCGAAAACTATGGAGAGTTGACCCCGATGGTGTCTTGTCCTCGCTTAGTAATCAGAACATCACGCAACCCGCGCTCCACCAAAAAATATGAGCGCTTCATATCACAAAATGGAGAACGTAGTACACTTAAATCGCCGGTTCAAAGTTAATTAGAAGTTGAAGACAAATACAGATGAATAAGTTACCTAAGCCGCTTTAAGCAATGATTTTAGAGATCCGGCTGACAGATCTGTTTTTTATCCAGTAGGAGCTTGGCTCGGGACAACACCACGCCGAGGTCAACTCTCCATGGTTTTCTTTAACCACAGCTCTCCACCACTTTTGTTATCGGAATTTCGCCGCTGCGTCGGCTCGTACCTGCAGGCTCTCCATTTCCCCGCACCCGGCATCAGACTGCGGTTAACGCGACGGAGATCATTGCGATCAACCCGAGCCGTCCCCAGTAGATCTACATAAACAGGGACGACCGCGCCGACAGGATGGAGAGAATAAGAAGTCGACACTCTCGCATCCATGATGAGGCTGAGTTACCCTCAGTTTTTACTGTTTAGTAGCGTGTATGCAGGCGCCGCTGCCTTTGACTGCTCTACAGCAGCATTTGACACAATTCTGCCCTCTAATGCTCGTACTATCTCTGCTGTGCCGGTGAGTGCGAACGGTACCTATGGACAGGGCGCTGCAGACATAGCATATCCGATAAACCCAGTAAGTTTAGTTCCGGAGACATCTGATACCTTACAGCACTTTGCTCTCTGAAAAAGCATGCACACAGTCAGTTATCTTGTACAGTATGCTATTACGCAATCTCGTCTTAACATCATTTGAACATCGTTTTGCGCGCGAATTGCCGTCAGAGCACTGTTAACAGCATGTTATCAATGATTGATTGTATGCATGCCTTTTCAAAACCGCTGTCCTCTCCTTAAGTGGTTTCGTGCCTGCAGTAACGCTAAATCGACATAGACGAATCTGCCAGCTCTATGCGCAGTGCAGGTTAACGTAACTTCTTCCGAATCTTCATCATTCGCCTTCGGTTTGTTTCTTCCAGACGATTGGAACAGCCGCTTCCTCGCCGTGGGCAATGGCGGCTTCGCCGGCGGTATCAACTGGTTAGCTATGAGCCAGTCTGCAGTGCAGTATGGATTCGCAGCCATGTCTACCAACACCGGCCACAACTCGACATCGGGAGACATCACCTGGGCGTTGAACCAACCTGAACGGAAGATCGATTGGGGATACCGAGCCATGCACGGTTCGATTGTCCTCGCAAAGGATATAATCAGAGCCTACTATGCCAGCTCCATCAAATACTCATATTATTCTGGGTGCAGGTAAATCTCCTTCTCTTCCATTTCCTGCTCTTCAGCAATCTGAAGCTAACCTCAACTCCAGTACAGGAGGGCGCCAAGGCCTAAAGGAGATTCAACTCCACCCAGATAGCTTTGACGGCATTCTGGCAGGCGCACCGGCATGGTGGACCTCGCATTTGCAGCCTTGGACGCTCAAGCTAGGAAGTTATAACCTACCAGTGAATGCGTCGCACCATATTCCGCCTACGCTTTTCCCTGTGATTGCCGCGGAAGTTCTCCGCCAGTGGTAGGTTTCTCCTTCCTGCGTCAATGTGCAATCTAACGAACAGAAGCGACGGCTCAGACGACGTAGAAGACGGCATAATCAGCGATCCCGCGAGATGCAACTTCTACCCCGAGGCCCTCCTCTGCGGTGCGGCCAACCAAAATGCGAGCAGCTGCCTCACCGCGCCTCAGATCTCTACACTATACCAGATCTACAGCGACTACGTCGATACGAACCAGACCTTCGTCTTCCCAGCCCTCCCGCTCGGCTCCGAGCCGCAGTGGCCCGTCCTCCTCGGCGGCAGCAGCCCCCACCCGCTCGGTACGCAATACGTGCAGTACTTCCTGCTCAACGACCCGAACTGGAGGTGGCAGGACTTCTCGTACCGCATCGTGGAGCTGGCCGATCAGCTCGACCCGGGCAACGCGACGGCCGACGACTTCGACATGAGCGACTTCGCCGCGCGCGGCGGCAAGCTGCTGATGTATCACGGCCTGGCCGACGCGCTCATCCCGTCTGGCAGCTCCGAGTACTTCTACAAGCACGTCCTGAGGACTCTCCTGCCGAGGGGCGTCGAGCTCGACCCTTGGTACCGCTTCTTCCTCGTGCCGGGGATGCTGCACTGTGCGGGCACAGCGGTGAACGCGCCGTGGTATTTTGCTGGCTCGGGACATGCCGCGGCGGTGGGAACGGGGGCCTACTCGACGCCGGGATTTGAGGATGCGAGGCATGATGCGCTCTTAGCGCTGATGCAGTGGACTGAGAATGGTGTACCGGTGGATGAGCTGATTGCTACGAAGTTTAGGAACGATACAAATCCAGCTGCTGGAGTTTTGAGGCAGAGACCGCTGTGCCCGTATCCGAGACAGGCGGTTTATAGGGGTGGTGACGTGGATTTGCCTGACAGCTGGGAGTGTCAGATGCTCTATAGCTAGTGTGGTATGCCTCAGATGTGCTGGTGGCTTTGTGTTGTGTCAACGCGGCCAAGTTCGTAATGCTGCTGAAACGCAAGCTTGCCTTCATAGGCTTAAGCGCACCTATATTTCAAGCTGCCGCCGATCGATAGCAAACAAGATTTGAATTTCAGACAACGCATCTCCGTGGCCGTAAGCTAAGCTTCAGGTGCACATGCTGATACAGGCAGATCACGTTCAAATAAAATAAGCTAGCAATGATACCACAGGGCTAACGTCAACCTGGTAACCAGTGGGTACGTTCAAGCGAAACCCAGAGAATATTGACTCGCTTGAACGAATGTACAATGCAGATAAAACTGAGGGGTGCGGTTGTGAAGAAAAATTGCACAAGGCCTTAGACGCATGATTACAACCAGCCCTAGATCGCCACATTGTAAGCGCAGGCGTGAGCTGTACCATTCAAGTTACTGCACTCTACACACTTATCAGCTAATTCAATGAAGCGCGACTTTGTATAGTCAGTGCATGATCGCCAATCACAGAAGTCGTGAATTTCCTTGTACATCAACCTTAAATACCTTACACATCTACACTGTACAATGTACCGCGACGTGCTCTCATACATCGCTGTTGAGGACGCTGTACGCGCTAGACGACGCGTTGCCAGCTCGTGCGAAGCCGTCCAGCAGCCGCGGACAACGGCTCCAAGCGTCCCGGATCGCACCGCCAGGGCTCGTTGCCTAGATTACCGGGCCTGCTTGCGACCGTCCTTCATCTCTCATCCTCCGAATAATCTCCCCTCAATCCACACTCCCCGCCCTCTCCGCCTCCAAAACTCTCTGACACCTCCTCCACAACCTAACCCACTCACTCTCTCCCACGCTTCCCCTTCCCTCACCCTCCTCCACCCTTGGCTCCGCAACCCTCAAACACTCCACCACCCCCCTAACAACCTCGCCCCTAAGCAACACAGGCGGCCTCTCCCTCCCCATCTCCGGCACCCACGTCCTAAGCGCCTCCATCGCCCTTGCCTGGTGTCCACTCCTCGCAACCGCCGCAAACATAAGCCCGTACATGTCCGCCGAGCGCGCATACACACGCCTTGGCATCGCGCTCCAGACGGCCCAGAAGCCGTCCCAGTCGGCGTGGGCGGCGGTGCCGACGTCCGTCACGTAGGCATGGAGGAGGGTTAGCCAGGTCTTGTCGTCGTGGGGGGCGATGAGGAAGAGGTCCATGAATCTGCGCAGGCGGGCGCGGGTGGCGGTTAGGTCCTCGATGGCGAGATCCTCCGCGGCCGCATTTGTGTGCTCTGTGGTTGCGGGAAGAGCGGAGAGCGCGACGGGGCTCGTGGCGGCGTGGAACGCGAGGATCAGGTCCTCGGACAGCACGTCGTAGCCGTAGAGCTCCATGTAGTCGAGGACGCTGAAGGCGCGGGAGAGCGCTTTGCGCCGCCAGAAGCCGGGGTGCGGCTCGTGTTGAGGGTGGGAGGTGCGGGCGGCGTAGGCGAGGTAGGAGTAGAGGACGCGGTGGAATACGCGGGCGGGGATGGGGAGGCTGGAGAGTTGGAGGCTGCTGAGTGCGTTGTCTACCTGGTCAAGACGCGCTTCTGGATGGGCGGAGTTGAGGACGAGGCATTGGAAATCAATCATTAGCTCGTGGTGGACCAGGTCGGGGTATTGAGGCATTTGGGAGTAGAATGAGCGCATGAGGGGGCTCATGGCGGTGGTGTCTTTCTGGGGTGGAAATGGCCGGATGCTCGGTCCCAGCTCGCGGACTACTGCCTCAGGTGATAGACTGCTGAGGTGTCTTAGCTGGCTTCGCATCTCTTGCGCTGCGGCGTCGTCGTCCTCATGCGGTATCTTATGGCCGCTAGCCGCTGAGAAAGTCGAAGCTTGTCGGTATAACTGCGTAGAAAACTCGTTTTGAAGCTGTGCGGCATTGATAACGGATGCTGTGCCGAGACTGCGTCTTGGAAGCCTTCGCGCAGCAGACACTCCATGCAGGCTCCGGGTCTGCTGCGCCGCTTGCGGTCCTGACACTCGAGGCTGGATGGAGGGCAGAAGGTTCGAGTTGGATGGGCTTCTGAGGCCAGCCTCCCTCGAGAGATCCGCCTCCCGATCGACGTCGTCATGCCCCAAATCACTGCTCTCAACGGCTTGCTCATCTTTCTCACGTCTTTTAGCTGCGCGCTGGAGCGCACCTTCCCATAGCCCCTCAAGGTCCATCTCTACTCTTTTCTCCTCTGTAAACATCTGAACCACTATACTGACGCCATCCCGCTGTCTGCCGAAGCCCACGAAATCTGCCGGTGCCGCAGAAGCGTCTGCGGTGTCTTTTGCGCTCTCCACCATTCCAACATTGACGCACACCCAACCCGTCCTGATGCCGTCGTCGGGTGATGCGGTCTCTGACGCGCCCACGTTCGCCATGAGTTTCGAACGCCTTGCCTTCCTCCTCATCTTGAGCTTCAGCTCGTTCCGTCCTAACAAGCCATCCGCGAACGGTCGGAGCTTGTGTGTGCTGCGAAGCCATCTGCACAGCCGATCCGCTGAGACGTGTAGATGCTTCTCGCTCCGCGCTGTGCCCACAATCATGAGGAGGCTGGATCCGAGCGCGGGTGCGGGATCGAGAGCTCGGAGGTCGATGAGGGTCAGGTCGTCAAGACCGAGATCGATGGAGATTTGCTCGAGGAGGTCCTGTAGTATTGGAGGAGGGTCTACAGGGAGATCGGGCAATCGTTGCCGCTCTGCAAGCGGGTGCGAGAGGCTTGGCGCACGCTGCTGTGTTTCGACTTGGAGATACCAGGGAACGCCCGCCAGCTCAGTCGAGGGGGGTGCGCCTGCCTCTGCATCTTCTTCAGCCTGAGCGGGTGCTTCATCTTCTGAGATTATGTGCTCCTTCGGTGTCTGCTCTGAGCATTGTCTTGAACTTGTGAGGAAACCGCTCCGCTGCGTATCCAGCCGTCGTACCGGTCGCGCTCGTGATTCGGAGATGGCAGGTAGCTGGACGCCTGAGATGGAAGCGAACGACCTGACAATAGCGATGCGACAGCCATTGCATCCAAGAGCGGACGAGATGACCCTTGGAACAGACATTGCTGTGCTGATGGACGGTAAGGGGGATGGTCAAAATTTCCAGTGCAGGGCGGAGGTCCGCACTCCGCAGTCCGCCGCAGCTCAGCCGCCGGCTTGTGCCGGTAAGGCTGACATATCAAAGTCGAGAGGCGAATATTTCTGCGCAAAGAACAATCGTGAACCACCGAAGTCTCTCATAAACCCCCAGTCCTTCTTCTCCTTCCTCTCTCTCTCCGCCCTACACTCTCCTCCCCACCAGCTTTCCCCCTTACTTCCAATCTCACTCCCATCTACAGAACCACATTCTCATTCCTTTCCTCACCATGTCTATGGAAGTCGATACCCTAGCTTATACCCGGCCAGCACCGAGCGCCGCAACAATTCTATGCTGCAACTGCGGTGCCCCGATTGACGGCACAAAGGCCGCAGCAGCGCTCTGTGACGACTGCATTAAGCTTACAGTCGACATCTCTGAGGGCATACAGCGAGAGGCCACCGTCCACATATGCCGGGACTGTGATCGGTACCTAGCACCGCCCTCACAATGGTTGGTAGCGCAGCCGGAAAGCAAGGAACTTCTAGCCCTGTGCCTCCGGAAGCTCCGCGGTCTGAGCAAAGTGCGGATCATCGACGCCAGCTTCATCTGGACCGAACCGCACAGCCGCAGAATCAAAGTCAAGATTACCATCCAGCAGGAGGCTTTGCAGGGCACCATCCTACAGCAGAGTTTCGAGGTTGAATACGTTGTGGCATATCAGCAGTGTCCGGACTGCCAGAAGAGCTACACGCACAACACGTGGCGAGCCGTCGTCCAAGTCCGACAGAAAGTTCCGCATAAACGGACCTTTCTCTTCCTGGAACAGCTGATCTTGAAGCACGGCGCCCACAAGGACACCCAGAACATCAAAGAGGCGCACGATGGCATAGACTTCTTCTTCTCTGCCCGCAACTCTGCAGAGAAGTTTGTCGACTTCCTCACCTCAGTCGCTCCCGTGCGAGTCAAGAAGAGCCAGGAGCTCATTTCGATGGACATTCACACGTCAACAAAATCCTACAAGTTCTCTTACTCGATTGAGCTTGTCCCGCTCTGCAAGGACGACCTGATCTGCCTGCCCCTCAAGCTAGCGAAACAGCTCGGCGGCATCTCGCCCCTGACCCTCTGCTACAAGGTCGGCACGTCCGTCAACGTCATCGACCCAACGACGCTCCAGACCGCCGACATCTCCACTCAAGAGTACTGGCACACCCCCTTCGCCCCTCTAGCCGACGTCCAAGAGCTCGCCGAGTTCATCGTGCTCGACATCGAGCCCCTCGGGCCACAGAAGGGCCGCTTTGCGCTCGCCGAAGCGACCGTAGCACGTGCCTCCGACATGGGATTGAACGACACAACATACTACACGCGCACACATTTGGGCGGCGTCCTGCATCCTGGCGACTCGGTGCTGGGCTACCACCTCTCCGGCACAAACTTCAACAACTCACAGTTCGAGGCCCTGGAGAACCACCGCAACTACGCATCCACAATCCCAGACGTGATGCTCGTCAAGAAGTTCTACGCGCGCAAGAAGAAGAACAAGAACCGCAACTGGCGCCTCAAGCGCATGGCGAAGGAGGAGAGCGAGATGCTGCCCCGCAAGCAGGACCAGGACAGGCTGGAGCGCGATATGGAAATGTTCTTACGGGATGTGGAGGAGGACGAGGAGCTGAGAGCGAACTTGGCGCTGTACAAGAATCAGCAGAAGGCGAGAGGGGAGCGGATGGATGTTGAAGAGATGACGGAGGGCGGAGAGAGCGATGACGACAGGTTGAGGATTCCAATGGAGCAGCTTATTGACGAATTTGAGGAGATGGGTATGGAGGAGTAGGGGGCTGAAACATAGTGCGCGGCTCATTGCTCCTTCTCATTTTTGGCATCTGGCAGGCGTTTGGGCATTGCTTGATATCTACGCGTGATGAATTAGACGAGCATCATGCCATGCTGAGTAATTCCAAAATTCGTCATGCGACGATATATCCATCTGCTGCTACCACTTGCGCAATTTAGAATTGGTATTTTGTCTTGAAAGATGCTACACAGGCTGGATATGCGGACATCAACGGGAAGCGCACGTGATTGAACGCATGAAATGCGCGTAGGGCTGAGCTCGTCCGAACCTCGGCCAAAGTTGCAACACCAGTCCAGCGCAATCAACAACCAAACAGCCAGCAATGCGCCTGCTCTGTCCACCAGCGCGCCGGAAAGAACTTCACCCACGATGGAGTTCCTCCCCGTCCTTCAAAACAACTTCGACGAGCTAAAGCCCTCTCTCTTCGGTAACCCCCCACCCCAGCTTCCCCCCCCGTCCCCACCATTCACCTCCCCACTCACCTATACTAACCCACCACGCCCCCACAGAACTCCTCTCCGAGCACCAACTCGCCGCCCTCCTCCCCCCCTCCCTCCGCTACCTCCTCGCCCTCGCCACCCACCGCCACCCGCGCTACCTGATCCGGATCCTCAACTCCTTCGACGAAGTCTACGCGCTCCTCTCCCTGCTCGTCGAGCGCCACTTCCTGCTCACCTACGGCGGCGGCTTCACCGAGAACTTCTACGGCCTGAAGCGCGCGCGCGTCCTGCGCGTCAAGGGCGGCGAGGTTCCGCGCGCACAGCTCGGCGCCGCTGACGCTGTCAGGGAGAGTCTGAAGCTGGGCAGGGGAGATGTCTGGAGGAATCTGGCGGTCATGGTCGGGGTGCCGTACCTGAAGCGGAAGCTGGATGAGGGGTACGACGTGCACGCCGCGCATGCAAACGTGCTGGGGTTTCAGCGGCGGGACGAGCTTAGACCGGGTGCGAGTGTCAGCGAGAGGCTGTTGTTCTACTACAAGTGGTTCCTGCGCCGCATCTATCCCAGCATGAACGCGGCGTACTATTTCAGCCTGTTGGCGTTTAATCTGGCATACCTGTTCGACGGCTCGAAGTTTCACTCGCCGTGGCTGTGGCTTGTGGGCACGAGGATGAGGCGGATGGGGCGCGCGGATTATAAGGCTATTGAAGCGGCTGCGGCGCCGAAGATTACTGCGGCGAGGGCGGGCGCGAGACCAGGAATGGGGGGGTCGGTGTTCAATCCGAGGGTTATGGCGGGGGTGGTGTACCCACGGCTGCTGTCGAGTCTAAGGATTCTGCTGCCGACGTCGATCTTTGCGCTCAAGTTCCTCGAGTGGTGGCACGCGTCGGATTTCGCGAGGCAGCTGTCGAGGAAGGCGGCGGAGGCGCTGGAACTGCCGCCGCCGGTGGTGTCTGGGCTACCGGCGCCTGCGAGAGCTACGAGGAAGGGAGAGAAGGATTCCGCAGACTTCAAGACCGACCCTGAGAAGGCCACCAAATCTTCCTCCTCGCTACCGCCCAATCCGCCAATCTCATCCCTCACCAACCTTCCAATCCTCACAGTTCCCTATCCCGTCCCCTCGGACTCCTCGCCGCCAGATACGTCCCTTTGTCCGATCTGCACCTCCCCGATTGTTAACCCTACCGCTGCGCCCTCGGGTTACGTCTACTGCTACACCTGTATCCACAAGTGGGTGGATGGAACGCACGAGCGGCAGGTTGCGTTCATGGAGGGCGGTGGTGGTGAAGAAGGGTGGGATGATGAAGGGAGTCGAGAGGGAAGGTGGGAGAGCGGGAAGGATAGGGATGCGGTTACTGGGCGGCGGCTGTTGGGTGGGACGAGCGGGTTGAGGAGGGTGATTATATAGACAATATATTCACGAGGCATTGGGCGGCGTTTAAAGACATGTTAGAGACTCACTGCTAGACAAGCCTGGGGTCCTTTTGCGGCGTTTACTGGGCGCAAAATCGGATGGAACGACAGCTCGAGGAGTAGTACGAAATCAGACGGGTATTCTTGTTGTATTATATATAGCTCTTGAAAGCAGTGCGCCGCGCTTGAGATCCAGTCCAACCAGCTGTCAATACTTTAAACCCCATTTTCCGCCCTTAAAGCGCCCTCAAAGCTGCCGATAAAACTCCAGAACCTGCTCCGCGCCGTCTTCCCACTGAAGATCATTCTGCAAATGATGTCCCGCGCCCTCCACCGTCGCCAACCTGACACCCAATCCCCTGCTCCTCCCTCCCTTCTTGACTCTGACCTCCTCAGCCTCCGCCTCAATTTTCTTCCCCCTCACCAACTCCTCAAACCCCCCACGATAGAATTCCGCGAGCTTCTCCATCACATCCTTCGTCATCAGCACATCCTTCTCTCCCGCAAGCACCAGCAGCCTCTCCCCCTTTCCTGCTCCCCAGCCAACGATACTACTCATGACGGCTGTGGCGGAGGCGAAATGGTACATCATGCCCACCGGCCACCAAAAGCTCTCGTACATGCTCATCTGCTTCTCGAACTCCTGGACGCGGGACTCAGGCATCTCGTTGCAGAAAAAAACGCGCTTCACTAGCGCCGTGCTGCTGAGGGGGGACTTGGGGTGCCAGCCGTGGAGCAGCATGCGGAGGGAGAACCAGGGGTCGAGGGCCCACCAGTTGGTATAGACGCCCATTCTATAGACGACTGATATCAGCACTCGTTCAGATATGGGATGACCCATTGCCGAGTGGGAGAGGAGGGGGCGAAGGAAAGGATAGAAGAAGGGGGGGGGCACTCACGAGCCATACCCCGGCACCGCAGCCGCAAGCACCAACCCCCTAACCCTCACCCTCCCCCTACTCAGCACATCCTGGCTCAACCCCCCTCCACTCGAGTGACCCACCAGCACGACCCTCCCATCCTCCGCGCCCGTCTCCCGCTCCCGCCTCTCGGCGAACTCGATCCCCGCGACAAGATCATCCGCCAGATCGCTCTTGAACGTCGCGTAAAGCATGCGCAGGAAGCTCGGGTAGAAGCTCCCGCCGTGCCCGCGCAGGGAAAGCGCGTAGCACGGGATGTTGTGCCGCTGGCTGAAGAAGGTCATGTAGGAGAGCCAGACGGCTGCGCTGCCGCTGCCGCCGTGGAGGAAGAAGAGGGGGGCGAGGCGCGGGGAGGAGGTGGATGGTTCAGAGGGGGCGGCGTGGAGCAGCTCAAGGGTGCCGTTGGGAGTGGGGACGGAGAGGCGGGTTATGTGTGGGGGGAGAGGG